GCCTAGCCCAGACATGGCCGCGGCGGCTGGAGCGGCACAGGGTCCCCTGAGGGGCGTCAGACGGGAGGAGGCGGTACTTCCGTCACCTGCAGAAGACAGAGAGCAGAGATGTGGGAACGGCTGGTGTTCCACAGCCCCAAACACCCCCCACCCCGCACACACCTGCTGGATCCCGTCCCCGCCGGCGCCAGAGCCCTCACCACCAACAGGGTCAGCCTAGCGCCGCCATCTTGGATTTCACCGGACGTCACTGGACGTCACTGGACCCCCAACGGTGCGCAGGGCGCAGGCGCCAGAGGCAGCCCCGGATGTGAGGAAACTTCTTTATCTTCAGCTTCTATTGGTTACGCTTGGTCCCGCCTCTCGGGTCCTCTGGCTTCTTCCCAAACACCTTCTCTTTCTCTCGGTGATTGGCCAAGAGGCAGTTCCCATAGTAACTGACACCAAGCTCCCACTTCCCCGCCTTGAGGACAGCGCCGGCCCTCGTATAAGCAACTTGGAAGAGAGGGTGCTCAGGTGGGCACTCGCAACTTCTTACGTATCTGCGCGTTCTCTTCGCACCCACTGGCGTGAGCTTGCGGTTTCCGCCTTCCTTCCTTCACAAGCCCCCTTGGCAACCGTCGCCGTTGAGACGGAGGGAGACGCCCCCACGGATTCGCTCCGCCGCGCCTCTCGGCGCGCAGATTGGCCGGAGCAAGGCGAGCGGGCCCGGCCGTGGTAGCCGCAGACCGAGCGCTGGCTGTCCTGGAACCGAGGCGGCGGGAGCCCGGGGCGCGCCGCGGCACGGAAGAGCGGCGAGATGCTCAACCGCAAGACCAGCCACTTTTTGGGAATGAGGGTGCAGTCGGAGCTTGAACATCTCTCCGAGCTGCGGCGGGAAGCGGGGAAGGATCGCATCTCAGTGCGTGGGTCGGCCGCGCGGACGCGAGCGAGTGTGCGGACCCAGTCGACGGCGGCGGCGGCGGCGAAAGCGGATGAAGACCCCGGAGCCAACTTGTTCCCGGTGAGGGCGGGACAGTCTGGTCCGCTCGTGAATATTTATAAACGGGCTCCCCCGCAGGCACCAATCGTCATTATGCTTACTAACGTTCGGGACGTCTCCCGCGCTGCCTGGGCGAGGAGAGGCAGGGGTGTGTGACCCTGGTGGTTATTGTGCTCGCATAGAGCACCTAGGGCCTCCTGAAGCCCGCCCTTGCCCGCGCCTCTCCTTCTTAGTCGTTGAGATGAGATGGCAAGTTACAGCGAGTTCTGGGGCCCGCTGCAGATTCGCGACGGCCAGGACACCACAGCTGCCTTCCCCAATTCGCTTTCTTTCCGCAGCCGCCGCTGCCCCGACCCCGGATCTGCATGTGGTGAGTGTGAAGAGACTTGGGGAAGAGTTACACTGAATATTTGCGTTCTTCCTTTATTGCCTCCCCAACAGTCCTGTCTGTGGCCAGGGCATCCCCATTTTTACAGATGAGGAGACTGAGGCCCAGAGATGCAATTACTCCAGGTGACTGGAAGCCAGCTTTCCAGCATCCCCAATCCAAAAAGGAGACAGTGTGAGAAAAAAAGAGCCAAAGACAGGATGTAAAGAGAGTCTCATGTCCGCTATGGAGTATTGTACAGAGGGGGACACTGAGGGCCACAGGGGGGATTTGACCAAGGTCATACAAGGTAGTGGCAGAGCAGGAAAAAAGAATTCAAGTTTCCTAACCCTAGGCTTTAGAAATGGAGAGGCTCATAAGAGTTCATTTAGGCCCAGAGAGCTAACGATTTGCATAGTTAAACAGCAAGTTGGCAAAAGAGCCCAGCTTCACACCAGTGGCCCAACTCCCAGTCCCACGCACTAGCTGTCACAGCCCTGTCATGATAGGTAATGGCCACCAATACTCTTTTTCTTTTCCTATAACAGGAAGTACCTGGACATCCATTCCATGCACCAGCTGGAGAAGACTACCAGTGCTGAGGAGATGAGGCAGTAGGGACTGAGTGGGGGCGTGGGAAGAGCTCTTGGCAAAGGTCGAGGGGTCAGGTTGGGAAGACATGAGGAATGGCTGACTCCAAAGCATGTGGTGGGTTTAGGGTGATGAAAGGAGGCTCCAGTTGTCACTCACTACTCTCTGCCTCCCAAGGGTGTTGGCTGAGCTGCTGGAGCTAGGGTGTCCTGAGCAGAGCCTGCGGGACACCATCACCCTGGACCTCTTCTGCCACGCGCTCATCTTCTGCCGCCAGCAGGGCTTCTCACTGGAGCAGACTTCAGCAGCTTGTGTCCTGCTCCAGGATCTTCACAAGGCTTGTATTGGTGAGAGGGGGCAGCTACCAGGTTTGAGCCCCAGGGAGAAGAGGAACTGGGGCTGGCACAAGTGACCATGGGAAGCAGAAGCAGGGGATTTCTGCCTGGAATATGTCATTATTAATAGCATTATCACACATAAGCCATCACCTTTCCAATCCACTGCTTCCTTATCTAGAAATTAAGGATACAGGCCAGGCATGGTGGCTCACGCCTGTAATCCCAGCACTTTGGGAGGCCAAGGCAGGCAGATCACAAGGTCAGGAGTTCGAGACCATCCTGCCTAATACAGTGAAACCCTGTCTCTACTAAAAATACAAAAAAAAAAAAATTAGCCAGGCGTGGAGGCGGGCACCTGTAGTCCCACCTACTCAGGAGGCTGAGGCAGGAGAATGGCATGAACCCGGGAGGTGGAGCTTGCAGTGAGCCGAGATCGCGCCACTGCACTCTAGCCTGGGCGACAGAGCGTGACTCCATCTCAAAAAAAAAAAAAAAAAGAGAGAAATTAATGATACAACACATTTTACAGGACTGTTCTGAGAAATAATATATGCAAATATATGCATAGTGCACAATAAAACCTGCTTTAGAATATTTAATAGCTCATGCTTCAGAATGTTTAATAGCTGATATGAGCTATTTCTTGGTTTATTGTGTCACTTCTCCTAGAATATAAGCTTCGTAAGAACAGGACCTTGTCTGTCTTGAGTGCCTAAAATAGTATACAGTGGGCATATAGTGGGTATTCAGTATTTGTTACATGAGTTAAGGAAACAAGCCAGGGCTGAAACCCAGATCTGCCTCTGAAGCTCATGGTCATAAACAGCTATTGAGTGAAGTGAATGAATGGATACCAGAGAGGCCCTCACTGCCGCATCTTGCTTTCCCTACCAGCAACCCCCTTGGGCAACGTGGAGGAGTGCTACCACTACTTCACCAGCGTTCTTTTTTGCCATGGAGTCAGGGTCAGTTCCCCTGGAACATTCTGGAACCTTTACCCATCCCCAGACAAGGTCTAGCCCAGTTTCTCTCACATTCATCGCCCTTATCTTCCTGTGAAGACCCCAGTGGGCTCTCCTTGCTCCTAGATTGCTAGGCTTTTGGAGGCAAAGCCAGGGCTCCAGGAGGTAGTCAGGGTTCTAATTCCCAGTCACCACCACAGCGGCCTCCTTTCAGCATCGACCTCTTCAAAGAGGAACAACTGCTGGCCCTGGAAGACTACGTGGTCAACACTTACTTCCGCCACTTCAAACTCTATAAATACGTCTTCACACCCCAGGTAGGGGGTGGTGGACCATGAGGAGCCATCCTCAACTCCCCATCCCCTCAGCGCAGGTACCCTCTTTTCAGCCTCCCTCTTCTTTGCTTCTCAGGTGCGGCTGGATCTGTCTTTGACTTACATGGGGCTACAGCCACCCAAACTGTGGCCAGAGAGTGAGATGGGTAAGGGAGAGTGCCAGGGCAGGGCTGGGCTGGGCCAGGCCTGGGGCCACAGTCTCTTCCTGCTTCTGGTTTGCAGAGAAAGAAGAAAGCAAGGAGGTGGAGGAGCAGGCAGTTACGCCGCAGGAAGAGGAACTAGAGACAGTGGCCCCGCCAGAGCCAGAGCCAAGTGAGGATCTGGAGGGGGCAGGCTGCCCTGTCCCTCTGAGCGGGTATACAATGAAGAGTTTGGATCACATCAGGACTTCAGACTTTTTGTTTTTAGTCATGGAGTCCTTTCTCTAACTGATCCCTTATGCAGAAGTCCAAGATGACAGATAAAAGCATAGCTGTAGGCCCAGTGCGGTGGCTTATGCCTGTAATCCCAACACAATCTGAGGCAGGCGGATTGCCTGAGCTCAGGAGTTTGCGACCAGCCTGGGCAACACTGTGAAACCCCCCGTATCTACTAAAATACAAAAAATAGTCAGGCGTGGTGGTGCGCTCCTGTAGTCCCAGCTACTTGGGAGGCTGAGGCAGGAGAATTGCATGAACCTAGGAGGCGGAGAGTGCAGTGAGCCGAGGTGGCTCCAGAGAAATGATCATTAGAAAGCCAATGACAGTAACAGCCAGCACATACTTGGCAACAGGTGTGCAGTGCATGCCCTGCTCTAAGCATTTTATATAAATTAACTCATTTAATCCTTCCTCAATCCTATGTGCTAGGTACCACTATTCACATTTCACACAAGGAAACTGAGGCACGGATAGGTTAAATAACCTAAGGTCACACAGCTACTGAGTAGGGATCAGAATTTGAATCTGCAAAGTCCAGCATAGCCACCCTACCCAACTACCTTTCATACAAGGGCTGGCTGACATTTCCTAAAGGGAAACAACACTGCCACCTATATATATACACCCCAGGGGAAATTTGGGGGCTGTGTTTGCCCAGCTAGGGACCATCCCCATTGCCAGACAGCATCTCTCCTCACCCTGCCCCTTCAGGCCACGTCCACATCCTCCGAGCCTACATCAAGACCCAAATGAACAAGGAGCTGGAGGAGCTCCAGCGGCTGGTGGAAGAGCAGCTCAAGGCCAGCGAGGAAAGGCTCAGCAGCAAGTTGACTGCACTAGAGCGGCCCTTCCAGCTACCTCCGGGTAAAGGCAAGAGTAAGACCAAGTGACCCCCAGCATTTTCCCCAATAAAGGTCTGGGCCAGAATGGCCCCATCCCTGCACCCTGGTGAGTATCTTCTGGGCTTTCCTGCCCAAGCCAGACAGCAGACACAGGACACCCGCTCTCCCTGGTGTGTAGTGGGTTTTATTTCATATGCAGCACAGGCAGCACTGACTGGGCCAGGCGTGGCATTCAGAGTGGCTCTCTTCCACCCCAGCTCTGATCTCAGAGCCCTGGCTGGTGGGAAGACAGGTACCAGGCTGGTCTTTAAGAGGGTAGCAGGATCAGTGGTGGGCCTGAGGCTAGAGCCCAGAGGAGCTGGAATGATCAAAGCCCTTCTTCTGGAGAGTTCTGCTTCCTGGAAATCCCTGGGGTTGAGGTCCTAGCCCAGTACCAGCACGGCCTCATCCTCAGTTATAGCAGCAGAGTCTCCCTCCTCTTCAGGGCCCATGATGGGAAAAGGCCCAGGGGGCCGGTGCTGAAAGAGAGCTGCCCGGTTCTGCTGCTCCCCTTTCTTCACCCAGTGCCCATAGAGCCGGAAGGCACAGTTGTCGATGAGGCGCCGCACTGACCGCAGCGCATAAGGGTCCCTCAACAGTGCGTTCTTAGTCAGTGGCCGTACACGATGGGTGCTTAGGGCCACTCGTCCAGCAGCCAGCACTGTCCACACTGCCACCTAGGAAGGGGGGCAGGGTGAGCTCTAGTGCAGGGGAAAGATCACGGGACAGAGGAATGGGCCCAGACCCTGACACTCTCAGGCTTACCCGGAACCGCTGGCGGGGGGTGAGGTTCCAGGATTGGCTGCCTTCACAACGCTCAAAGAAGGGGTGCTGTAGGGCCTGCTCAGCTGTCAGGCGTGCATCAGGATCCACCTGCAGCAGCCTGGAAATCTAGGAGAGACCCAGAGCATGAGGGGCAGCTCTTGGGCCTCCCCTACTGTCCTCTCAGCCCCAGCTCACCAAGTCTTTGACAGTGCTGGAACGGTCGTCCCACTCAGGGGAACTGAACTGGTACTGGCCCTCCATGATCATGCGTAACATCAGGATCTGCCGCCGGTGCCAGAAGGGTGGCGAGCCAGCCAGGAGTGTGAACAAGATCACCCCACAGGCCCAGCTGGGAAAGAGACTGGAGTCAGGCGGGACTGGGTGACAGGCAGACCCAGCAAAGGACAGCAAGCACAGGAGGGAGAGGGAGACCAGGAACTCACAGGTCGACCTCCTTGCCGTAGCCTGGGTGGGTTTCATCCATGGAGCATTTAAGGATCTCTGGCGCTAGATACCCTGGGGTCCCACACAACTCTGGGGAGAGAGGACCAAGATTGAGGGGATGCCACCAGCCCCTCCAGGGCCCCTAGCACTGGATCTCTGCTGAAGCCTCCTCAACGCCACCAGGACTACCAGTGTTCCCATCCTCCTCCTGCCTGCCTTCTGCCGAGTCTCCGCTGAGGCACTATCCCTGCTCAACAGTTCAGATACCCATCATGGCTCCTGGTGGCCTTCCTAGGAAAACCTGGGTTTTGGATTGATTTCAAGGTCCTTGTTCCACCATATCATTTGCCTCCTCCAACCCTACCTACCCACTATCCAAGTCAACCTATCTACTCACAACTTGTTACCTTAGTTTTATATATATCATAAAGCATATGGAAACATTATGTATTTTTACATACATCACAATACATATGTAAAAAAAATTTTCTGGCCAGGCGCGGTGGCTCAAGCCTGTAATCCCAGCACTTTGGGAGGCCGAGACGGGCAGATCACGAGGTCAGGAGATCGAGACCATCCTGGCTAACACGGTGAAACCCCGTCTCTACTAAAAAATACAAAAAACTAGCCGGGCATGGTGGCGGCGCCTGTAGTCCCAGCTACTCAGGAGGCTGAGGCAGGAGAATGGCGTAAACCTGGGAGGCGGAGCTTGCAGTGAGCTGAGATCCGGCCACTGCACTCCAGCCTGGGCGACAGAGCCAGACTCCGTCTCAAAAAAAAAAAAAAAAAAAAAAAATTTTCTGCATTCCTATCTGCCCAAACCTTTCTCCTCCTATAACCTCCAACCATCACTCAACCCAAGGGGAACAAGCGGAGATATGGAATTTCTTTTGTTTTTTCTTTTTTTTTTTTTTTTTGGAGATGGAGTCTTGCCCTGTCGCCTAGTCTGGTGTACAATGGCATGATCTCAGCTCAATGCAACCTCCGCCTCCCAGGTTCAAGCGATTCTCCTGTCTCAGTCTCCTGAGTAGCTGGGATTACAGGTGCGTGCCACCACACCTGGCTAATTTTTTGTCTTTTTAGTAGAGACGGGGTTTCACCATGTTGGCCAGACTGGTCTTGAACTCCTGACTTTGTGATCCACCCGCCTCGGGCTCTAAAAGTGTTGGTATTACAGGTGTGAGCCACTGCACCCTGTGAGCTATGGGATTTCTTAAAGCACATAGTGGGTAAGTCCCTTGTTTAAAACCCTTCCCTGATTCCACATCATGACACATGATCAAATCTACAGTTCTAAAGCCCAGAGCCCTCCAAAACTTTATGCAAGTCTGTATTTTTATATTTATTTATTTTTAGAGACAGGGTCACTATGTCACACAGGCTAGAGTGTGGTGGCACTATCACAGCTCATTGCAGCCTTGGGCTCCTAGGCTCAAGTGATCCTCCTCCTTCAGTCTCCCAAGTAGCTGAGGTGACAGATGCGTGCCACCATGCTTGGCTCAAGTTTGTATTTTTAGTTTTTTCCACCACTCGGGCACCAATTCTTCCAGTAATTTCTGAACTGTGTTCCATGGCACACTTCCAGGAGATTTTAACAGCCCCGAATTGAAACTGACTTTCTTGGGAAATTCATTCCTATACCAAGTATTTATTGAATGCCAGTGGCATTGATTTGCCAAGTGGCAAATGAGATGTGTCCTTAGCGAGCTCACTGTCTACCTGAAGGCAAGCGGGAAGTAACAATAGAGTAAGAGGTGTTGTGAATGAAGAAGATAGGAGAACAAAAAGCAAAGGGACCTAAGCTGCCCTGGAGGTGTAAAGTGAAACTTGAATTACCCAAGCCAAGAAGAGGATGGAGTGGGCAGAGGCAAAGATGATTCCAGAAAGGGGAAAAGTACATGTGGAAGCCCAAAGGGTTTTAAAGCACAACATCCACCAGACATGTAAGCCCACAGGTTAAGAGTATGAAATTTGAAGTCAGACTGTCCAAGTTCAGTCCTGGCATTAGGACCCTGGAGAAGTCATCTCACCTCTGAGCCCTTCTGTAAAAACAGAGACACAAATACTATCTGTCACACAGGGCTGTGGAGAGGATTTAGGGGAATAAGCCATATAAAGATTGGTGCCGGCCAGGCACAGTGCTCATGCCTATAATCCCAGCACTTTGGGAGGCCGGGGCGGGAGGATCACTTGAGGTCAGGAGTTCGAGACCAGCCTGGCCAACATTGTGAAACTCCATTTCTACTAAAAATACAAAAATGAGCCGGGCATGGTGGTGGGCACCTGTAATCCCAACTACTCGGGAGGCTGAGGCAGAATAGCTTGAACCCAGGAGGTGGAGATTGCGGTGAGCGAAGATCATGCCACTGCACCCCAGCCCGGGTGACAGAGCAAGACTCTGTCTCAAAAAAGAAAAAAAAAGACTGATACCTGCCTCATAGGTGAATGCCCAGTAAACGGTAGCTTTTCATAAGTCTAGTGCAAAGCCATTGAGGGAGAGAGTCAGTGGCAGACTAAAGGCTCTGAAGAATCCCACAGGTGAATTTTATTTGAAGTTTCCCATTTGCAGTAGAAATATTACTGTCCCGACAAATGTATTCACATCAGGTGAACCTGAGGCCCAGGGCCCAGGTGGGAAGTGCAGTCCGGACACATCACATCAGGCTCCCGTGGTCCTGCACTCCAGCCCAAACGTGGCTGAGCATGACTCTGCCCTGCTCCCTTTTTTACCTCTTCTGTGCTGAATTGGTGTTCCTTCCTCCGGGCTTCCCTGGCATGGCCCTCTGCCCACCGTGCACCACTGTCAGCCCACTTGTCTGTCTCCATCCTCCCCAGGTCAGAATGCCCACTCTGAGGTAAACACAGGTTTTGCGCCCATAGGGTAATTGGCAAGTACCCAATGACTTCTCCCTTTTTCTTGGCACCAGGGACTCGGTACTCAGACCCAGCCAATCAATCTCATCAGGCCTGGGTCTCCCCTCCCAAGCCTGTAAGGGCACTAGATCCCCTCACCTCGAAGCTTCTCGCCAGGTTCCAAGTGGCAGGAGAACCCGAAATCTGAAAGTCGGATCTGCATATTGTCATCTAGGAGAATATTCTCGGGCTTCAGATCTCGATGCACAATGTTGTTGGCATGGAGAAAGCTCACTGCTTCCAGCAGAGACCGCATGATGGACCTGAGGGAAGGGAAGGCGGGTGCAGTCTCCTCCTTGGCTCCTCCCTGCCCTGTCCCACCCCCTGCTCACCCCTGGGGCTGCAGGCTCAACCCTTACCTGGTTTCCTTTTCTGAGAGGGCTACCTTCTCTGTGAGATAGTCAAACAGCTCTCCCTTCCGCATCCTAAGGGAAGGAGGGGCATAGGAGGTAGCTGCACCCCACATTGGGGGTTGAGAAAACAGACCAGTGCTCATACAAAATATCATGGAAGAGGCCACTAAAGATAGATTCCTCTGCGGACAAACCAAAGGGTCTAGAGACACAGCACTCCAACAAGGCAGTTTGGCCTGGTGTGTTGGCAGCTGAAATACCTGCATTATGCCATGATGGCAATTATAGCAAAAATAAGAGACTTCTTGTGACAATATAATTTATAGGAGTTTCTTGTTGTTTGAAAATAACTATGCCTGAAAAAGGCCTCTCAAAGTGAATCTATAAAGAAAATGGGGCCGGGCGCGGTGGCTCAAGCCTGTAATCCCAGCACTTTGGGAGGCCGAGACGGGTGGATCACGAGGTCAGGAGATCGAGACCATCCTGGCTAACACAGTGAAACCCCATCTCTACTAAAAAATACAAAAAAAATAGCCAGGCGAGGTGGCGGGCGCCTATAGTCCCAGCTACTCGGGAGGCTGAGGCAGGAGAATGGCGAAAACCCGGGAGGCGGAGCTTGCAGTGAGCTGAGATCCGGCCACTGCACTCCAGCCTGGGTGACAGAGCGAGACTCCGTCTCCAAAAAAAAAAAAGAAAATGGACCAAAATTTCAGTTTTTTTTGTGGCACAAAGGTTGAATAGGACCTGATTTTGAAATTTTGTCTTTAAAAGCTGAGGTTATGATTATGTGTCAATTAAAAATAATACTTTCAAAATTGAGTTATACTTGCAACTCTGCATCAGTCCTCAAAGTAACTTATCAGGTACTGTTTTGGGGAGTGTAGTCACTCTGCACAGCTGGAGGATGGCATAATAGACATCCTTACGTCCCCTCTGACTTTTGCAGAGAGCTATTTCTGTAAAAATATGGAAGCCTTCATGAATTTTTTCCAAGGGCCTCTCTTAAATCTTTGGAATTCAAATCATTCTCTTTTGAAATACCTTTGCAATTGGTTTACATTATACCATGTAACATCTGACATTCAGATTCTGACCAGAAAAAGAACAGATGGGCAGAGACAGACACCAGAGTAGTTAGTGTGTTAAGCAGCACGAGAGGCTGATGAGCAAGGATCTATTTTCTTTTTCTTTTTCTTTTTTTTGAGACGGAGTCTCGCTCTGTCGCCCAGGCTGGAGTGCGGTGGCACGATCTCCGCTCACTGCAAGCTCCGCGTCCCAGGTTCGCGCCATTCTCCTGCCTCAGCCTCCCGAGTAGCTAGGACTACAGGTGCCTGCTACCACTCCCAGCTAATGTTTTTTTTGTATTTTTAGTAGAGATGGGGTTTCACTGTGTTAGCCAGGATGGTCTCGATCTCCTGACCTTGTGATCCGCCCGCCTCGGCCTCCCAAAGTGCTGGGATTACAGGCGTGAGCCACTGCACCCGGCCACAATCTGTTCAGGCTGGGCGCGGTGGCTCACACCTGTAATCCCAGCACTTTGGGAGGCCGAGGTGGGCAGATCATGAGGTCAGGAGATAGAGACCATTCTGGCTAACATGGTGAAACCCCATCTCTACTAAAAAAATACAGAAATGAGCCAGGCGTGGTGGCAGGCGCCTATAGTCCCAGCTACTCGGGAGGCTGACACAGGAGAATCGCAATAGCATGATCTCGGCTCACTGCAGCCTCTGCTTCTCGGGTTCAAGCGATTCTCCTGCCTCAGCCTCCCGAGTAGATGGGCTTACAGGCGTGCACCACTACACCTGGCTAATTTTTGTATTTTTAGTAGAGATGGGGTTTCACCATGTTGGCCAGGCTGGTCTTGAACTCCTGACCTCAGGTGATCCACCCACCTCAGCCTCCCAAAATGCTAGGATTACAGGCATGAGCCACCACGCCTGGCTGGTCACTATTACTTTTAAAGAATTTGCCTTAATGATGGCACCGAGGGAGGCCAGAGCCATGGGCTAGCAGGCAGGCCCAGGTGATAGAGAGCCCCAGCTGGAGTAGGAAGGTGTGAGCAGGGTGGGTCCAGCCCACTGAGCAGCAAATGCTGGGCCATACATGGAGGTGGGGAGGAGGCTTCTCAGATGGTGGCAGGGAGATACTCACAGGTCAAACACCAGGAACATGAAGCTAGAAGACTCGTAGGAATCGATGAGGGTGACTAGGGAGAGAGGAAGAGAGGCAAAGACAGAGATGGAAAGGAGTGGATACACACTGATGGGGCTTGGTCACCCTGGGACAGCAGTGGGCTGTTACTGGGAAGAAAGGAGAACCAGAGGAGGCAGTGGGGGCCCAATGGATGGCCACTCTTTAGTGGAATGAAGCCAGGAGGAAGGGAGGAGAGGCATGGAGGCAATGTTGGGAGAAGTGGGCTGTGGGCAGGGTCAGCAAGAGGTGGGGGGTCGTCTGCTAACAGGAGCAAGGAAGACAGCCTCACTGATGTGGGGGTGGCCGGCGACCTGGCGAAGGATGTGTGTTTCTCGCCGTGTGGCTTCCCGCACCTCCTCCAGCTGCTCAGGACTCAGTCGCTCAGCTGTCACTTCCATAATCTTCACGGCAAACTCGTGGCCAGTAGCTCGATGAACACAACGGCGGACCACAGAGCTCACTCCTCTGCGAGAGCCAGAAAATAGCACAAGTCAGGGCATCTGTGCTCACATTTCTGCACAGGCTGGGGCTTCAGCATCCTCATGCCCGCTGTGCCAGACCCTGAAGACCCATCTGGATCACAGGGCAACAAGCTTAGGAGCTCACCCTGGCTTCACAGCAGCCTCAGGAACCTGGGTACCCAGCAAGGCACAACACAAAGCTCACAGGGAAGGCAGGTAGGGCCTGGGTTCAAATCCAGGCTCTGCCACTTCCTCCATGGGAAAGCCTAGGCAAGTCCTTCCCACACTGAGCCTCAGCACCTGCTCCTTGAAGGAAGGGGGAAGAAAGATTTAAGTCTCCCTCCATATTCCACTTGCACTTCCCTGATTACCCCATCCAAATCCCAAAGTTCCCTCAAGTGTAGGAAACTCCAAATAAATATGAAGCCATTGACTAGAAGACCAAAGCTGAGACTCAGACCTTAGAGTAGACCCCAGATTTGCTACCAATTAACCTAAGTGGTCCCCTGACATAAGGTCCTTGGGCTTCAGCTCCTGCAACTGTGAAATGTGGCCAACAGCATCCTGAAGGGATGTTGAAGGGCATTCATGAGGCACACACAAAGTCCTAGATAAGGATTTCCTTGCTCAAGCTATCACCAACTCCATATGACCCCACACATTCCTCAGACTAAGGAGCAAATCCCTCCAGGATCAGGCCTCAAATTCCATTTCTTTTTTTTTTTTTTTTTTTTTTTTTTTTTTTTCTATTTCTTTTTTTTTTTTTTTTTTTTTTTTTTTTTTTTTTTTGAGACGGAGTCTCGCTCTGTCGCCCAGGCTGGAGTGCAGTGGCCGGATCTCAGCTCACTGCAAGCTCCGCCTCCTGGGTTCATGCCATTCTCCTGCCTCAGCCTCCCGAGTAGCTGGGACTACAGGCGCCCGCCACCTCGCCCGGCTAGTTTTTTTGTAGTTTTAGTAGAGACGGGGTTTCACCGTGTTAGCCAGGATGGTCTCCATCTTCTGACCTCGTGATCCGCCCGTCTCCGCCTCCCAAAGTGCTGGGATTACAGGCTTGAGCCACCGCGCCCGGCCCTCAAATTCCATTTCTTATGCTGGTTCCCTCGCTGCCCTTCACAGAGCCTTACTACTATGCTCTGTGGGGCCTCCTTGGCCTCACATAACTCACTTGGGAATTCGGTCACCCACATCTAGTTAAATCAAGGGATGTAAACTATTGATCCATAGGCCAAACACAGCCCTCCGATGTGGTACGTTTTGGCCAGTGCAATTTTTTTTTTTTTTTTTTTTTTTAACAAATCTGAATTCACACATCATAGGTGGGACATGAATCCTCCACCTTACACAACACTTCCTACTCTGTTACTCTTGGCCACGTCATGGTTTTAATTTCCCGCGCAACCACTAAGGGCATCTGAGTTTGGGGCCATGTTTTAATTACGACCCAGCTTTAACGAGCCTCTTTGAGAATCCGATGAAAGTTGCAGACATCTACCACACGCATACATTTTTATGATTTTAAAGACCCCCCTGAACTCCTACTCATACCTCAAGACCCACCCCAAAGGTGACTCCTGGGAAACTGTGTTTTTCTGGAATCCCATAACACTTGATACAGACCTCTACCTATCTAGCCTGATGCCTTTTTAACGTTCACGTCACTTCAGGTGGAGTACCTCAAGGGCATAGGTTTCTTTTCTACCCTCCCCGTGTTGAGCTTTGTGTCTGGCACAGTAGGTGCATCAACCATCCGTGTGTGTTGAAGGCATAAATGAATGAATCCGTGAAACATATGGGGTTGACCCAAGGTAACAGACCAGTCACCAGGTGTTCTCCACTTACCACTGATTCTTCCCATTTAGAACTATTCAGTCATCCGGGCGCGGTGGCTCACACCTGTAATCCTAGCACTTTGGGAGGCTGAGGCCGGCAGATCACGAGTTCAGGAGTTCAAGACCAGCCTGGCCAATATGGTGAAACCCCCGCCTCTACTAAAAATACAAATTAGCCGGTGTGGTGGCGCACGCCTGTAATACCAGCTACTAGGGAGGCTGAGGCAGGAGAATCACTTGAAGCTGGGAGGCAGAGGTTGCAGTGAGCCGAGATCGCGCCACTGCACTCCGGCCTGGGCCACAGAGCGACACTCCGTTTCAAAAAAAAAAAAAAAAAGAACTATCCAGTCCTCTCCTGAAAACCTTGACACAAACACACACACACACACACCCCTACCTCTCCAGCCCTCAAACGGAAGCGGGACTGCTGGGGCCCGACCTCTCTGGACCTCCGTTTCCCTGGCCGCGGTCTCACCTGCCGATGACGTCCTTAGGGTCGTACTTCTGGTAAAACTCCTTGGCGGCGGCCCAGTCGGGCAGCTCATCCTCCGGCCCCACGTCCAGCGTCATCCTGAAGGAGGCGGGGGCCTGCGCGGAGGAGGAGGGCAGTGAGGGCAGGGAAGCCCACAGGCTCTGAGACGACCCGCATCGCGGCTCCCGGGGGCGCAGCCCTTGCGGCTGGGGCGCCAGGGTCCTGGGGAGTGGGGGGGGGGGGGGAAGGACCCGGACTGGGGAGACCCCGCAGAAGAGCCTGGGGGCGGGAGGATGGCAGGGCAGGAAAGGGAGTGGGGAGAGGTGCTCAGGAAGCTGGGGGAAGGGGCGCAAGGGCAGGCGGCTGTTGCCGCGCAGGCGCATTCGGGCGGGCGCAGGAAGGGGACGGGGGTCTAGCGCAGGCTCACCCGCTGGGGCAGACAGAGGAGCCAGGGTCGACGCGACCTGCGCTGTCGCCGGGTTCGCCTGCAGTCACTCACCTTAACCTCGGGCAGCAGGCGACGACCCAAGGCTCCGCCTCCATCCTGCCCGCCAATGGCCAGCGCCGCCCGAAGACTGAGGCTCAGAACCTCTTCCGATTGGAAACCGGCCTCCCAATAGGGGCTGGTGCGGGCGCCGGAGCTCGGCGTGACCTAAGGACGCGACGCGACGCCGGGGCGCGGCTTCAGACACGGCCAATCAAAGAGTGGCATCTACGGGCCAGCGGAGGGCGGAGCTTGTTGTCAAGTGGACTTGGAGGCCTGGAATGGGACCCGGAAATTGGGTTTACTGGGAAACGTGATCGTTGGGTGGCGGGGAAGCAGGACCTTCCCGCGCCTCTAGTTCCCAGACTTGAGCAGGGGAATTCCCTCGGTCTTCTCCAAGCATCCCTAACTGCATTCAGCATTTTCTCTTTTTTTAGACAGGGTCTCGCTCTGTAGCCCACGCTGAGGCTGCAGTGTAGTGGCGCGATCATAGCTCACTGCAACCTTGAACTTCGGGGCTCAAGCAATCCTCCCGCCTCGGCCTCCCAAAATGCTAGGATTACAGGCTTGAGCCACAACGCCCAGCAAGCTCTTTTCAATATTAGCAGCCTTGCCCAAAGCGCCTGTCTTGAGTACACTCCAGCCCTTAAAACATTTGGACACACGCAGCTTGGACCCCCAGCTTGGCCTCTTAGTTCGGAATTACAAGGCCAGAAGCAGCCTTCTCTTTCTGTGGCCGCTTCAATCCCTCCTGAATACATCCAAAGCCCTAGCGTTTACTATCTGGGATTGTTCATACACTTTCTCCATCTTCCACCCTCTCCCAAAAGCCTTGTATCACACTGTTCTAAACCCACAAGGTTCTTCTGCCAGGAGCTTTTGCCACCAGTCGCTTCTGCCAGGAGCGACTCAGTGCATAGCTCAGACCTGGCATTCACTAACAAATTTTTATGACCATCTAAGACCTAGGGACTAGACTGAGACAATGAAACACACACACACCCCTACCTTGTGGAGGTTATGTTCCAGCAAAGAAGAAAAGAATGAACTTATCTTCCAACAGCTATCTTAGAAATGACACTTTGGGATTACAATTATATGAGGGAAGAAAAATGAATTCAGGTAACTTTTTATAGAGTACTTTGACTCTATACCATCAATCTAAAGGCAAAATTGCAAAGAAATCTTGAACTTTACTTAGATTTGTTGTTTGGTAATATAATGGAATGATTATTCTGAAGCTGAGTAATCAACATATTGACGTGACTGGAAGCCAAGGTTCTTACTGTGCGAATCTGGAATCTGGAAGGGGAAAGTGGAGAAAGAACCCTGATTGACTAGAATTTTTTAAACGATTTTAAAAATATTTAAAATAGATAACATTAATTATTTACTGGCTCTTAACTCTGCTTTCAGAATGCCCCAAGCAGTAACATCACAGTAGAACGCCTAGTGTCTAGATGCTGATTTCTCAACAACAGTCCCCAATAAAAGGAACCAAGGCTGTTCAGGAGAAATGGCCAATTTCTAGGCTTCAGCAGGGAAAGTACGAGGTGAGTCTGGAGCGATTTGTGCTAGAAATTACTAAAGAGGGGGGCTTATCACAAGGACACAGGAACCAGATTGAAGAGGTTTCCGTTAAGTATCAGGGATAAAAATAATGAGGAGTATGAGGGAGCTTGCTGATGTGCTGCAAATGTTACATTCCTATAGGTGGTGAGTGACTGACTACACAGGTTTATTTATGTTAAAACATTCATCGGCTGGACACGGTAGCTCACCCCTGTGAGCACTTTGGGAGGCTGAGGTGGGCGGATCACGAGGTCAGGAGTTCAAGACCAGCCTGACCAACATGGTGAAATCCCATTTCTACTAAAAATACAAAAATTAGCCAGGCGTGATGGCACGCGCCTGTAATCCTAGCTACTCAGGAGGCTGAGGCAGGAGAATCACTTCAACCCGGGAGGCAGAGGTTGCAGCGAGCCGAGATCGCACCACTGCACTCCAGCCTGGGTGACAGAGCGAGACTACATCTCAAAAAAAAAAAAAAGGCCGGGCGTGGTGGCTCAAGCCTGTAATCCCAGCACTTTGGGAGGCCGAGACGGGTGGATCACGAGGTCAGGAGATCAAGACCATCCTGGCTAACCTGGTGAAACTCCGTCTCTACTAAAAAATACAAAAAACTAGCCGGGCAAGGTGGCGAGCGCCTGTAGTCCCAGCTACTCAGGAGGCTGAGGCAGGAGAATGGCGTAAACCCGGGAGGCGGAGCTTGCAGTGAGCTGAGATCCGGCCACTGCACTCCAGCCTGGGCGACAGACCAAGACTCCATCTCAAAAAAAAAAAAAAAAAAAAAAAAAAAAAAAAAATTAATCAAATTGAACACTTAAGATCTGTGTGTTGGGCTAGGCACAGTGGCTCACGCCTGTAGTCTCAGCACTTTGGGAGGCCAAGGCGGGTGGATCACAAGGTCAGGAGATCAAGACCATCCTGGCTAACACGGTGAAACCCAGTCTTTACTAAAAATACAAAAAATTAGCCAGGCGTGGTGGTGGGTGCCTGTAGTCCCAGCTACTCGGGAGGCTGAGGCAGGAGAATGGTGTGAACCCAGGAGGCGGAGCTTGCAGTGAGCCGAGATTGCACCACTGCACTTCAGCCTGGGCAACAGAGCGAGACTCCATCTCCAAAAAAAAAAAAAAAAAGAACAAAAAACAAAACAACATTCTAAAATGTGTTACCCTTTTTTCCTGATTTAGAAATTTCAGAGTGAACCCAATCAAATCTTATCTGTAGAGCAGTAGTTCTCAAACTATGTGCACTAGAATCAATTGGGAAACTGTGAAATCCTAATGCCCAAGTTGTACCTCACACCAATTAAGTCAGAATATAGTCTGGGCAAAGCCCAGGCCTAACTACTTTTTAAGGCTCCCAGGTGTTCCACTGTGAAGCTATGTTGAGAACACTGCCCTGTATATGGCTTCTACCCACTGTTGTAATTCTAACTTCTGAGACCACCAATCAATTCTCTTCCTTCTTCCTGGAGCACCTGGGAACACTGAGGACAGCCATCATGTGCCTCTCTTTCCCCTCTAGTCTCTCTTCAGTGTGCAACATCTCCAATTCCTTTAGGCGCTCTTCTGGACTCTGAATTATGGTAAGGTGCTTGCCAGGACACATGCACTCCAAAAGCCATGACTCATAATAACCCCAAACTGCAAATATCCCAAAGTCCACCAACAGAAAATGGACAAATTGTGATACATTCGTATGACTGAATACTGCACAGCAATGAAAACTACACCTATGCCAAATATTGACAAATTTCACAATAACATTGTGAAATATGAAAAGAATACATGATTCCATTTATATAAAGTTAAAATGCAGACAAAATTAAACGACACTGCTAGAAGTCAGAATAGTGGTTACCTGTGGGAAGAAAGGAAGTAGCAGTGATTGGGAGGAGTATAAAGGAGGCTTTGAAGTGTTGACAATGTTCCAGTTTCTTTACTGAATGTGGTTATTCATGTTTGCTTTGTGTTAATGAACTGTATACATACTTGTTTGGGGTATTTTCCTATATGTATGATATACTTCATAATTTTAAAAAAATTTAAAATATTATGAGGTCCAAGATAAAAGATATGAAAATCCATTTTAATCATTCAAATCTCCATGTACAGGATGGTTGTTGCTGTTACCCAACTCTTTCACTCCTCTCTCAGCTCTGGAACCAAAATTGTTTGGGTTCAGTCTCAGCTCTACCATTTAGTAGCTGAGGACCTTGTGCAAATCTGTCTTATTTCCTCAAGTATAAAATGAGAACACTGTCATTTTAGAACACTTCCTCCAGTTTTCACTCAGATAGTTGGTACCTATCATATGTGACATATTCATATGATGGATATGATACTATAGATACCTAATGAGTGACTGAAAACTGGAGGAAGTTAAGAAATATAAAGTGCTTAGAACACAGCCTGGAATATAGTAAGTCATAAATAGTAGCAGCTGCTACTACTCTTGGCCTCAGAGTCTCTGTGGACGTACAAGGGAGAAGCTGGGGTCTTTCCAAGAAGGAAAACTTCCAGAAGAAGAAAATAAAAATTGTTTCCTTCTCTTGAAGCTCCTGGATGAGGTGGATTCTGGCTTCTGCTATCAGTCAGATGTTCAGGCTGGCTCTCACCAAGGGCCCAAAGTAAAGCAGGGGGAGAACAATTAGACAGGAGTATTTCACCACTAAAAAAGGCTTTTATTACAAAATGAATTCTAATAAAACCAGGCCTGGTCTTCAACCCCTCCCGCTGGGTAGAGGCCTAGGGTGGGCTTGGGTGGGGGAGATAGGGATGGGGGGCCCTGAAAGAACAGAGCAGGCTGCCCTCCTCTCATCAGTCTCAGCTGCTGCCCTCCTTTTATAAAGGGCTAGAAGAGCTCTTCCGAAGCCCCTTGAGAGTCCCCATCCTTCCAACCAGGATCCTTCCAACCACTGCTGTCACAGGACCTTAGCAATGCCGCACTGCAGGATCCAGGAGGTCTCAGCTGGCTCTCAGCAGAGGCCATCCAGGGTCACTCAGCCTGAGCGATGGCGTAGGAGAGCAACCACAGCAGCAGGGGACCCAGAGTGAGAACAGCAAGCCAGACAGCAAAGCTGGCCAGGATGAATTTCCGGGCCCGGGCCCCCCAGCGCACTGCCTCCTCGGACCGGCCTGCTTTATGCCGCTCTTCTGCCTGTGGGGGCAGGTTCTTGGTTAGGTTCTCCCACTACTTCTGCCCCAAGGTGTCCATTTCCCCACTTCACTCCCCATTCCCTGTCACAGATGAAAATCTCACATCCAAACTCTCTACCTCCTTTCCAGTTTCTGATTCTAAACTCTCATCTGCAAAATAAGGTACCCATCTCTGCGCCCTGCCTACTTCTCAGAGTGGCCACAGTTAGCTCACAAGATCGCATATGGTAAAGTACTTTCCAATTCTTTTATTCCCCATTCTTTCCAACCATCCAAGATTGATTCAGAATTTCTAACTATTGGCAAGAAATAGTGAGCCTGGAGTATTTCATTCATGCCCAAACACCACCTCATTCTCATAGCCTGATGGGTATCTTTTCCATCTTTTTTTTTTTTCTCGAGACAGTTTCACTCCTGTCGCCCAGGCTGGAGTGCAATAGTGCGATCTCACTGCAACCTCTGCCTCCCAGATTCAAGCAATTCTCCTGTCTCAGCCTCCTGAGTAGCTGGGATTACAGGTGCATGCCACCACACCCAGCTAATTTTGTATTTTTAGTAGAGATGGGGTTTCACCATGTTGGTCAGGTTGGTCTCAAACTCGTGACCTCAAGTTCTGCCCACCTCGGCCTCCCAAAGTGCTGGGATTACAGGTATGAGCCACCGTGCCCAGTCTCTTTGTCATCATTAAGGGCCCTTTTTAGGATTTTGCCCTAATGGAACCCAGGAGTTCTTACAGTAAGTTTCTGTTAAAATATGTCTAGGGTTGAGAAAATTCCAGCATTTAACTTAGCCTGTGTAGCCTTTCCTAAAGGACATGTGCTGTTTCTTTTTCTTTTTTTTTTGAGACGGAGTCCGTCACCAGGCTGGAGTGCAGTGGCATGACCTCGGCTCACTGCAACCTCCAACTCCCTGGTTCAAGCAATTCTCCTGCCTCAGCCTCTACAGTAGCTGGGATTACAGGCACGCACCATCACGCCCAGCTAATTTTTGTATTTTTAGTAGAGACGGGGTTTCACCATGTTGGACTGGATGGTCTCAATCTCCTGACCTCGTGATGTGCCCACCTCGGCCTCCCAAAGTGCTGGGATTACAGGCCTAAGTCACCGCGCCCGGCGGACATATGCTGTTTCTAATAGGCTTTTTGAAATGGTGAAGCCCTCTCAAAAACCCAGTAGTGTCTTTCAGACTCCTAGAGATTGTGCTTATCACCGTTCAACAGCCTCTAGCCTTGCCCCCTCCAAGTCACCCTCGATGTAGGCCTTGAGAGTGGATCTTTCTAAAACTCAAATCTAACCACGTCACTTTCCCCTGCAGGAACCACTCAATGCCCCCCAGTACTTTCCAGATAAAGTCAAAACTCTTAAGCACAGAACTGGAGGCCCTAGGAAATCTGGGTCCTCTAGCTTCATCTCTCACTATTCCTCACTGGTCCAGTCGTGCCCCACAGGCCTTTGTACACACTGCTTCCTTTATCTGGAATGCCCTTCCACCCTTATTCACTCACGCTTTAAGGTTAATTCCCGTCACCTCTCCTAGGATGCCTTTCCAGTTACCTACTCTACCACATACTCATATATAATTATATACATAGATCCTCCCTGGCTCTCAGACTGTCCTGTGCTTCCTATATTATGGTACTGATGAACTGCATTCTATTAATTATCCTTTTTCACTGTCATCTCTTTCATTAGACTATGGGTCCTCTGATGGCAAGGAACCCTGTCTTACTCTTAATTCTGGCACTAGGCCCAGAGCACTGATAGGTATTCAGTGACTAATCAATGTAGATAGATCAGATACATGAAACCATTGCCTTATACCCACCCCCCTGTTCCCATGGGAATTGCACTCCTCACCTTGATGGCAAACACCAGAGCCATGACTCCCAGGCAAGAGCAGCCACAGATAATGCTAGTAGCTGCCAAGCAGCGGAGGCGGAGCCAGCAGCAGCGGATGGGGGATGGAGGATGAGCAGCTTCCGTGTTGCCCATCAAGATCTCCACTGCCTTCTCCTCGTCCTCCATCACCTGTGGGCGATAGTCAAGGTACTTGTGAGCCCAACAACTGAGCCCTTGGCCTTGCTTGCTCAGACTCCACCCCTCGGAGCACTCTGTTCTCATGGCATAGCCTGGCACTCAGGAATGCTGCCTTACTGGGAAATTCCTCTAGTGACTCACAGAGCAGAAGAGGAAATGTGATGTGTGGCTGGAATCCTTTTACCTGAGCTTGAGGTTCTGAGTCTTTGAAAGCAAGCCAATGTAGACAAGGCATTATCTGTATTATTTAGTGTTACAAGTGGGAAGAGGCCAAATGACAGGTGCACACCAAGCAGCAGGAGAAACAGAAACTCTTGAAAGCTGCTATGAATCTGTTATTTTAATCTGTATTTCAAAGGACCCTACAATTCCCCCAGATTCCCAAGAGGCTGCCCCCTGAGTACTATAGATGTCAGAGAGCAGAACCCTAGGTACTGCACCCCACTTCAAGAAAAGCAGCCATTTTACATGAAAACAGTTATGGGAATGGAGAAAGGTAAGGAAAATATACCCAAGTAAGCCCTTTTTTACCGCTGAAACCAAACACCAAAAAGACCTTACTTCCCTAAGTCAGGTCTTCCTCTGCTATGCTGCCTCCCTGCCACCTCCTCTCTCTATTTTAACCCAGGCCACACAACACAATCAGACTAGTACACTGGGTCCAAATGACCTCATTATCACACAGAAACCTGCATAATGATGCCCTACTTAATTATTTCTCGTCTCCCTACTTCTCAGGTCCTCTAGGCCCTGGCATCAAACCACCTTTCTACCCTTATCTCCAACCATTCTCCTACAACCCACACAAAATGAAACCACAATGGCTCCCTGAACCCAAGTAACAAAGGATAGGAAAGGTGAAAGGGGTGAGACAAGCAGAGCGCAAAGAATGATGTGTGCCAAGAAGCTGCAGGGAAGTAGATACAAAGAAGTAACTCGGATGAGGTAAACAGAGTCAACAGGAAGACACAAGGAGGGCCCAGGGAGTGAACAGAGAATATAAAATGAACAGGGCTCTTACCTGGCTATAGGCTTTGAGGGACTCTGAGTTTCGGCTCCTGCCTCAGCTTTGGTTTGGCTTGGGTGGTGATGGAGCTGACTCAGGGCTCCAAGCCAAGCCCAGGGGTGGGGTTGAGTGGCCAGCCACCACCTGAAGAGCTCAGGGAGCTGGGAAGGGGTGTGGCTGACTCAAACCAGTTTGGCTAGATGAAGAGCCGGGGAGGGCCCAAGGGATGGACCAACTGGAGCTAGGACGCCTGCCCTCTGGAAAAAGGAGTGAAAGGAAGCACCTGAGCAAGAGGGATAAAAGGGAAAGGTCTGAGGCATCCAAGAGCTCCGAGGAACGTCTAGGAACCAAGGGAAAAGAAAGGAGGAAAAGGATGTCTGTGACTTCAAACTGACTTGGGAAAGGCACCCTACCACATCAAATTCACCAATCTTCCCTTTTCTTGGGTAGGTTTCTACTTGGAATATACAGTCCTAGGCTAGAGATCAGGTGCTAGGATCTTTGCAAGAGCAAGAGGGAAGAGAAAAACGATGCCCAAGTTCCCACCCAACCCTCCACCAGACCAGAAAATCAGAAGCCTCCTTACGCGGATGCTCGTACAGAAACTAAGTTTATTATTTTTTCTTCTTAAAAAAAAAAAAAAAGAAAAAAAGAAAAAAAGAAAAAAACCTCATTGTAGAGAAGCCCCTCCCCTTTCCCCTAAGGGTGGGGGGCTGTGAAAGACAGCTGGGGAATCAAGTACAAGGGGGTGGGGACAGAAACTATCTTGCCACCCTTAACACTGCCCAGCCACGTGGGGTGAAGGGGAGGGGGACTGTGATGATCCCCATTTCCATGACAACCAGTTGCCTACCCCCTACTTTGGTGGGAAGAAGGGAGAAGGCCCCTATGTCTCCCTGGAGGCTTTCCCCCTCAAGACTTCAAGTAGTGGTTAACAGAGTCAGGCCTGGTCATGGAGGGAGCGGCCACGGTGGAAAGCCTAGGTGGAGGGGCAGCCCACTCACGTCTTGGCCTTGCGGCCTCTGTAACTAACAGTAGGGCCAGTCAGGGAGGGAGGGGCACTGCTGCGCAAGATGCGCTGGTCCCCTTGGTTGGTGGTCCCAACAAGCCGGCGGGGACCAGGACGTCGGCGTGGGGTCCCATCCCCTTCCTCCTCCTCACCTGAGGCTTCAGCCTCAGACTCCTCTACCGAACCCTCAGGCCCCAGGGGACTTGGGGGCTGTAGGCGGCCCCGCTTTGCCAGCCCAGGACCCCCACCAACTGGGGCCCCTGCTCGTTTGCGAGGCACCTTCTCAGTCTCTAGTGGGGGGACTAGAGACCCTGGACGCAGCCGGGTCGAGCGCAGTTTTGGGGCTAATGAGACCACAGGTGGTGTCAATTCCAACCCGCCTGGCCCGCTATCTGCTAAGTCCAGGTCATCCTGAATTACAGCCACCACCATGGACCCTCCACTCTTCCGTCCTCGCATTCCTTCTGCTTCAAGCCGAAGGCGGGCCAGGCGGGTGAGGGGGCGGCTTCCATCCTCATCAGAGGAACTACCCTCACTCTCCCCTTGGCCCTGCGGATGCCGTCGCCTCCCCAATCCACAGCTCTCAAGGACAGAAGTGCTGTCACGGTCCAACACAGGGAGCTGGCTGGGCCGAGGTGATGGAGGATTCTTGGGAGGTCGGCCCCTCTTCCGTTTGGGTGGGGACGTTGAAATGGTGACAGTGGTGACCGTGTTGGCAACAGTAGCAGTGGGACAAGCTAGCAGTGGTGGGAGTGGGGTTAGGGGTGATGGGTGTGGGGGTGGCTGTGTCCGACTTTCGGAGTTGCCATCCCCTGGAGAGGAAATGGTCCCAGGGATGGGCAAATCTCGTGCCTTAGGGGGTCGCCCTCGCCGCCTTTTCTCCACAGGTGACAGGATAGGATTGGGTCTGTGAAGTGGCTGGGGTCCAAGAGGCTGGGGCCCAGGAACAAACTGTGGTTCCAGGACAGGCTCTGCAACAATTAGGGTCTCAGGCTGAGGGACTGGGTCAGCCCCATTGGTTTTTCCCTTCAAGGTGGATGAGGGTGCCTCATCCACACCTCTCCCAGCATCTGCTGGAGACCTGTTCTTCTTGGGGGGCCTCCCCCTCCGACGTTTCACAGCAGGTGGGGTGATGGCAAGCAGTGCTCCGTCTCCATTCTCTGGGGTGCCACCACCAGTCACCCCCAGCTCAATGTGACGGCGAGCAATGAAGGGCTGTTGGGGTGGAGTGGGCAGTGAGGATGAAGGAGCAGCTTCACAAGGCCCACCAATGGGAGGGGAGGATTCTGGCCCTGACATGCTGCGGACAGATGGGCTTCCTGGGCTGGCGCTAGTCTCAGAGACCCCAGGCACTAGGGTGCTGGCAGCTCCCCGCTGCTGCCGCCGCCGCCGCACCAGTTCCTTTTCCTCTACCACAGTTACTAGCCGTCCTGGCAGCTTTCGAAGCACTTTGGGGCCTGGTGGTTGTCCTGGCCGACCAGTTCCTTGACCCCTAATTTCCACATCAGCACTGGTGCGACGCCGAGGAGGTCGGGCAGGTGAAGGACCCTCAGGCGAGGAAGTGGCTGAAGATGAGGTGGATGGAGCTGCAACCTCAGGTGTAACAAGTTCCTGTGGCTTCTCTGGGCTGGAGGTTGGGGTCTGGGCCTCTGCCAGCTCTTCCGAGGTCCTGTCAGCTTCCAGTGGCTCCTGAAGTGGCTCATCAGATGCTGCTGAGGGTGGGAGCTCCAGGCCATTGCTCTCACTCACACACTGAAGGTGCAACTCCTCACCTTCAGGCAGCACTGTAAGGGTGGTGCCCTCAGCAGAATCTGGTGCCTCCTGTTCTTGACCGTTAGGGACACTGCCAGCCTCCAAGGTCGGGCTGGGTGCAGAAGGGGTGAGAGAAAGGTTCTTCTCAGACACAGGCAGGATCTCCACAGCAACTGGCAACAGATCTTTAGGGGGCACAAGAGTAAGTGAGGAGGTTTCTGAACTGGCCACAGAAGCCAGCTCCAGGGACTCTGGAGATGCCAATGCCTGGGCACACAGTTCTGCCTCAGGCCTCAAGCCCAAGGGGAGGTTGGTGACTGGGGGAGAAATGGGCACAGAAGGTGGACCAAGCAAGAGAGGAGGGGAAGGAGTTAAAAGACAGGTTTGGGCTGGAGGCGGTGTATGAGCTGGTGGAGGGGTACAGGCGGGAGGAGGGGTGCAAGCAGGAGAACAAGGAGGAATCTGTGAAGGAGGGGGAGGAGAAGGCAATATATGGACAGGGAGAATGGTTATTGGATTTGGGGTTGAAATGGGTACTGGGGCAGAGACTGGGACAGGAACAAGGGCAGGAATTGCAGCTGGAGCTGAAGCTGGAGTGGGTCGAGGCCTAGGTGCTGGCCTGGAAACTCTCTCCCTGGCAGGACTGCAGCGGGGCGGTGTGGTGGTGCTGCGAGTTTGATGGGCGGATATGACAGGAGTGTGGTTTGCCCCTTGAGTCTCAGCCCGGGCTCCACGAAGACGCTCACTGACACGAGTCCCCGGTCTCTCAGGGGCCTTGGCCTTTTTACTGCGCCGATGGGTGCCTCCACCAGTCCCACAGGAACTCTCATCCCCAGCCCCCGGCCCCTCCTCCTCCTCTTGGGGTAGGCGGAACACCTCCTCCTTGGCTTGGTCCAGGTCTTTGCGGGCAGCTTCCACTTGCTCCTACAACAACAGGGCCCACAAGTGGTCAGAAGGAGGCAAGCAGAGTAGAGAGTGAGTAGAAATTAGCAGCTTCCAGGGCAGGCGCAGTGGCTCATGCCTGTAATTCCAGCACTTGGGGAGGCTGAGGCCAGCGGATCACCTGAGGTCAGGAGTTCAAGACCAGCCTGGCCGACATGGTGAAACCCCGTCTGTACTAAAAATACAAAAACTAGCCAGGTGTGGTGGCACACGCCTGTAATCTCAGCTTCTCGGGAGGCTGAGGCAGGAGAACTGCTTGAACCCGGGAGGCAAAGATTGCAGTGACTCGAGATTGCACCAATACACTCCAGCCTGGGTGACAGAGTGAAACTTTGTCTCCAAAAAAAAAAAGAAAAGAAATTAGCAGCTTCCGACTGCCAGTCCCATCCCTGGAAATACTCACTTCTGCCTGTTTGAGCTCCTCTCGGCTCACCTCCTCCAGTGAGGCCTCCAGGAATTTCATGGCATAACGCTCAATGGGGGTCAGCTGCAAGGAGGAGCAGTGATGATAAACGTAGGAACCTGGTACCCAAGGACCCACCACCCTTATTTATTCCCACCAGGGAAGACAGAAGGAGGGTCACAAGCCCAGGGGAAGCAGTAAAGTCAAGAACTAGTGGGTCCAACACTGACTGACCTGTTCTACGAGGGCAGCAATTTCCTGCTCAGCCCGGGACATCTCCTCATCCTCAGCCCCAGGCCGGCCAGCCTCCTCTCCCTCACAAGCAGGAAACCCATCGTTCTCATTAAATTCTGCAAGCTCAGCCACCTGTTCAGCCTTGGCCTGGGTGGCCGCACGGATATCCTCTTCATCTTCTGCCCGACACAATGCCTACCAGGGTGTATAGAAGGAAACAAAAACATGAGACTACAAGTACTTCACATCATGTGATTTGATTCAGGCAAAAACTTAAGACCAAGCATACACCAAACTAGGTTTGCAATAGAACTCAACAACCTCCTAGGCCTCCAGAGTTACCACAACTACTCAGTGGTCCACAAAGGAAGGAACAGATTTTACCAGGACACCCACTAGGGAAAAATGAGTATTTTAGAGATTGCTCGCTCTACCTCCCTTCCTTTAAAGCCAGCCTCAGCTCTCAAAAAACAAAAAAACAAACAAAAAAGCCATCACAGAAAGATGTGAATAGAAATGCACAATTCACCTGGGCACGGTGGCTCACTCCTGTAATTCCAGTACTTTGGGAGGCAAAAGCAGGCAGATCATGAGGTCAGGAGTTCAAGACCAGCCTGACCAACGTGGTGAAACCCCATCTCTATTAAAAATACAAAAATCTGCTGGGCGTGGTGGCATGCGCCTGTAATCCCAGCTACACAGGAGGCTGAGGCAGGAGAATCGCTTGAACCCGGGAGGTGGAGGTTGTAGTGAGCCGAGATCGTGTCATTGCACTCCAGCCTGGGCGAAAGAGCGAGACTCCATCTCCAAAAAAAGTAATATAATGTCAAAAACTGCAATTATTTTTGCATCAACCTAAATACTTCTCTTAAGTGGAAATGCTAATGAAAAGGAAATAATTTTGAGGATTAAATGGTGAGGTGGATATGCTTTGTACTTAATGCCTTTTTTTTTTTTTTTTTGAGACGGAGTCTCGCTCTGTCGCCCAGGCTGGAGTGCAGTGGCGCGATCTCGGCTCACTGCAAGCTCCGCCTTCTGGCAGCCTCCTGAGTAGCTGCGACTACAGGCGCCCGCCACCTCGCCCAGCTAATTTTTTTTTTTTTTTGTATTTTTTTAGTAGAGACGGGGTTTCACCGTGTTAGCCAGGATGGTCTCGATCTCCTGACCTCGTGATCCACCCGTCTTGGCCTCCCAAAGTGCTGGGATTACAGGCTTGAGCCACCGCGCCTGACCGTACTTAATGCTTTCTATTTAATGTGAAACGCTGTTTCAAACACTTATACATAATTAAATCACATTTGGAAAGGTTTTTAAAAGATTTATTTCTTGGCCCTCTCTCAAAATCTATCATAATTTTGGGGTGCTGGGTCTGAGCATTTGTGTGCTTTCAAAGCTTTCCAGTTGGGAGCCTCAGCCTCCCAAAGTGCTGGGATTACAGATGTGAGCCACCCACCATGCCCTGCCCACATTACTTTTAATAGGAAGTGAGGTTCAAAAGAGTGAGGATTGTAACTTGTCTTAACACAATTAAGAAGCATTACTGGAATTCAAAGCTAAAACTAAGGACTCCAAAATCCTGTCTTTTTTCCTACTAAATCATGTGAACCAATAAGCAATGTGCTTATAACTATCAAAGGCTGACTGTAATCTGGGAAGCAGAAAAAACATCTCTTTCCCCTGGACAAGTTCAACAGACTAACAAAGGACAAGATATGCTTTAAGAATTAGCTCAACTTTAGGAACTGCCCACTCTTTTTTCACCTGCTCCAGAATATGAGTCTGCTTGCTGGCCACAGTCTCTTCTTCCTCTTCAGGGGCAGAGGGCACAGATGAGCTAGAAGGTTCCTCCAGGGGCATATCAAACAGCTCTCGGATGGTCTGCTATCGGATAGAACAGAGGGAAGTGTCAGAATCAACAGAATGCTAGTCTTAGGTCTAAGCTGTAAGGCTCTAAGTTGTAAGGCTGATGGTTCTTGGAACTATCAGGGGTGCCACTGGCTGAAGACACAGGTCTGTGAAGGCCAAAGCAGTCCTTTTTTTCTTTTTTGAGACACTTTTGCTCTCGTCACCCAGGCTAAAGTGCAATGGCGCCATCTCAGCTCACTGCAACCTCCGCCTCTCAGGTTCAAGTGATTCTCCTGTCTTAGCCTTTCAAGCAGCTAGGATTACAGGCACCCACCATCACGCCTGGCTAATTTTTATATTTTTAGTAGAGACGGGGTTTCATCATGTTGGCCAGCCTGGTCTCGAACTCCTGGCCTCAAGTGATCTGCCTGCCTCAGCCTCCCAAAGTGCAAAGCAGTCTTTTTTAGTAAACAGGAGGAATTCCTAAAGGCACAACAGTTTTCTCCTGCATAGGCTAAAAGATCTTACTTAGTACCTGTTTAAAATAGGCTGTGGTGAAGTTGCCTCCCTCAATGGCCATGTCTCCCAACATTCTCTTCTGATTTGCCTTTTTTAGGATGTTCTCCTCCACTGTCCGTTCACTGATAAGCCTAGGGGGTGATGAAGGCCATGTGTAAGCAGCCAAATATATCCAGGAAACCCCATCAGTAAGGTGAGGGAAGACTAGGCAATACCTATATATGTGAACATCCCGGGTCTGGCCAATTCGGTGACAGCGGTCCTGGGCCTGAGCATCCATGGTGGGATTCCAGTCGCTGTCATAAAAAACAACAGTGTCTGCTCCTGTCAGGTTCACGCCCACACCCCCACTCCGAGTTGAAAGGATGAAGCAGAATATGCGTTTGTCTGCATTGAACCGTTCCATCAAGGCCTAGAAGGAAAGGGAAAAAAAGATGATACTGGGAGACTTATCCCCCGAAACAGGTCTAAGGCTTAGTGGCACCCCCTCTGGAAGCCCAAATCCTGGGAAAAGAAGAGAGAAGCAGAGGTGAGACTCTAAGGGCTGCAGAAACCTGGGTTACCTGTCTCTGTTCAACTCTAGTAGACCCATCCAGGCGCAGGTAGAGATGGCCATGGTAGGTGAGAAACTGCTCCAATACATCCAGCATTCGGGTCATCTGGGTGAAGATAAGCACTCGGTGGCCCTCTGCCTTGAGCTGCCGCAACAGCACTGCCAACGTCTGCAATTTTCCTGAAGAGATATTAAGGGATACAGGGAGCTAGCTACAAGCTGCAACGGGTAGAATGCTTAGCAATGTAAGGCTGGGGTTAAAAGGTAATCAGTGCTTTAGGCCAAAGTTTCAATTAGCCTAGCGGATCAAAAATGTTTAGGCCGGGCGCGGTGGCTCAAGCCTGTAATTCCAGCACTTTGGGAGGCCGAGACGGGCGGATCACGAGGTCAGGAGATCGAGACCATCCTGGCGAACACGGTGAAACCCCGTCTCTACTAAAAATACAAAAAACTAGCCGGGCGAGGTGGCGGGCGCCTGTAGTCCCAGCTACTCCGGAGGCTGAGGCAGGAGAATGGCGTAAACCCGGGAGGCGGGGCTTGCAGTGAGCTGAGATCCGGCCACTGCACTCCAGCCTGGGCGACAGAGCCAGACTCCGTCTCAAAAAAAAAAAAAAAAAAAAAAGCAAAGTTTAATTACAGCGGGACATGGTGGCTCACGCTTGTAATCCCTGCACTCTGAGAAGCCAAGGCAGGTGGATCACTTTAAGTCGGGAGTTCGAGACCAGCCTGGCCAACATGAGACCCTGTCTCTACTAAAAATACAAAAATTAGCTAGGTGTGGTGGCAGGCGCCTGTAATCCCAGCTACTCAGGAGGCTGAGGCATGAGAACTCAGGCTTGAACCCACGAGGCAGAGGTTGCAGTGAGCTGAGATCCCACCACTGCACTTCAGCCTGGGCGTCAAAGTGAGACCCTGTCACAAAAAATACATATCTATATTCAACGTCATATAAGTTCTTCCTTTAAGGGCTTCACCTCTTTGGTCTGCTCCAGCCTAGAATCTAACTTCTTTGAGTCTAACTAAAAGAGTAGGGGAATACATAACATCGAGGGAAGAACATAATCCTCAATGCTTTATGAGCAAGGGATTCTTAAGTATTACAACAGTCATACCACCTGAAATCCAGAACAGATTCACAGGATAGATGTCAATAAATCCATTGTCACAGCTTACAGACAGGGATTTAAGGTCACAGTCAGAACCATAAAGGCTCTTAGAAGGTTATCTAGTTCAACCTTCCATCAAACACAGAAACAACTTCAACATTTCTGGTAACTCAGTTTGAACTTTTTTTTTTTTTTGAGACGGAGTTTTGTTCTTGTTGCCCAGGCTGGAGTGCAATGGTGCGATCTCAGCTCACGGCAATCTACGCCTCCTGGATTCAAGCGATTATCCTGCCTCAGCCTCCCGAGTAGCGGGGATTACAGGCATGTGCCACCACGCTTGGGTAATTTTGTATTTTTAGTACAGACAGGGTTTCTCCATGTTGGTCAGGCTGGTCTCGAACTCCCGACCTCAGGATCCTCCCACCTCAGTCTCCCAAAGTGCTGGGATTATAGGCCTGAGCCACCATGCCCAGCCTGAACACTTACTTTATTATTTCATTTTTTGAGACAAGGTCTGGCTCTATCACCCAGGCAGGAATGCAGTGGTGCGATCTCGGCTCACTAAACCTCTGCCTCCCGGGCTCAAGCCATCCTCCTGCCTCAGCCTTCCAAGTAGCTTGAACTACAGGTGCATGCCACCATCCTGGCTAATTTTTGTATTTTTTTGTAGAGACAGGGTTTTGCCATATTGCCCAGGTTGGTCTCCCAACTCGTGAGCTCAAGTGATCTGCCCACCTTGGCTGCTCAAAGTGCTGGGATTATAGACATGAGCCACCGGACCCAGCCTTATTTTATTTTTGAGACAGGGTCTCACCCTGTCGCCCAGGCTAGAGTGCAGTGACATGATCACAGCTGACTGCAGCCTTGACCTCCCAGGCTCCTGCAATCCAGCCACCTGAGTAGCTGGGACTATAGGTGTGCACCATTACATCCAACTACTTTTTCAATTTTTGAGGAGAAAGGGTTTCGCCACGTTGCCTGGGCTGGTCTTTACTTGCCTCAAGTGATCTGCCCACCTCAGCCTACCCAAGTGCTGGGATTACAAGTATGAGCCATCACACCCAGCCTTGAACACTTTTAACCAAGACTTTCAGTTTATCTATTCTGAATAGTTTCAATTATAACAAAAACACTTTTTTTACCAAAACATTTATTGAACACATATCAATAAAAATTTTGATTTTCTTCTATTCTAGAAAATTTAAGAAATCTTGAAACGTGTTACTATAGAAATGTCTGTGCAGGGTTGTGGAAGAAACAAGTCACTTATCCAACAGCCATTCTTGGGTAACAGAACCTGATTAACACTGGACAGCTGGCAGAGGTTCCTTGCTCCCAGGTGAAGGAGGCCCCAACCCAACCCCAGAAAATAAATAAGTTGTAAATAAGCCAGAGGCCTTTTTTGCTATTCCCCTTTGTCAGTGATTGCTCTAGGTATGGGCATATAGCTCAGTTTGAGCCAATGAGTTATGAAGCAAAGTCAGCTTGGAGGTCTTTTTTTTTTTTTTTTGAGACAGAGTCTTGCTCTGTCGCCCAGGCTGGAGTACAGTGGTGCGATCTCGGCTCACTGCAAGCTCTGCCTCCCGGGTTCACGCCATTCTCCCGCCTCAGCCTACCGAGTAGCTGGGACTACAGACACCAGCCACTACACCCAGCTAATTTTTTGTATTTTTAGTGGAGACGGGGTTTCACCATTCATAGGATGGTCTCAATCTCCTACCTCGTGATCCGCCCGCCTTAGCCTCCCAAAGTGCTGGGATTACAGGCATTGAGCCACCGCGCCCGGCCAGCTTGGAGGTCTTGTGTTCCCAGAAAACTTTCTCAGACTGTTTTGTCTCAACCCCTTGTTTCTTGTTTAGAGGACTGGTGTATACCCTGGAGTTATGGCAGCCATCCTAACATGAAGAAACAAAAGCATGAGACTAAAAAGATAAAAGCTAAAGATGGTACAGCAGGGTAGAAAGATAAGGTCCTGGTCCCTTAAGGCTGGGTGCGGTGGCTCATGCCTATAATCCCAGCCCTTTGGAAGGCCAAGGCAAGGGGATCACGAGGTCAGGAGTTCGAGACCAGCCTGGCCAACATGGTGAAACCCTGTCTCTAATAAAAATACAAAAAACTCACCCAGGCGTGGTGGCGGGCACCTGTAATCCCATCTACTCGGGAGGCTGAGGCAGGAGAATAGTTTGAAACAGAGCAAAACTCTGTCTCAAAAAAAAAAAAAAAGGCCGGGCGCAGTGGCTCACGCCTGTAATCCCTTGGCTTTGGGAAGCCAAGGCCGGCGGATCACAGTGTCAGGAGATCAAGACCAGCCTGACCAACATGGTGAAACCTCGTCTCTACTAAAAATACAAAAATTAGTTGGGCGTGGTGGTGCACGCCTGTAATCCCAGCTACTCAGAAGGCTGAAGCGGGAGAATCACTGGAATCTGGGAGGTGGAGGTTGTGGTGAGCCGAGATCGAGTCACAGCACTCCAGCCTGGGTGACAGAGCGAGACTCCATCTCCAAAAAAAAAAAAAGAAAGAAGGAAGAAAAGGTCCTAGTCCCTGAAAATATCATTAAGCTACTGAAACAGCTACACACCACTATTCTCAGACTGGCTCATTAAGTAAACAATAAATGCTCTTGTGGTTTAAGCGACTGTTAGTTGGTTTTCTGTTACCGCCAAATAATTTTAGCCAACACAAAAAGGTCATTGTCTTTTCCAAAACCAAAATTTACTGTTTACTTCCTGTGCAGTCTTGTACCACCAGACATCTTTTTCCATACACCTAAATGAAAACTCTATGCTGCACTGTCTTACTTCCTATTGTATCCCAAATGATCAGTAAAATGTAACAGACGTTCACAAAATGATCACTGAATGAATGAGTTAGCAGCACATTTTCAACTGTCATGAAAGTCAAATTCATGGCCGGCATGGTGGCTCATGCCTGTGATTCCAGCACTTTGGAGGCTGAGGCGGGAGGATCGAGATCAGGAGTTCGAGATCAGCCTGGCCATCACAGCGAAATACAAAATTTACTAAAATCTACTAAAAATACAAAAATTAGCCAGGCATGGTGGCACATGTCTGTAATCACAGCTATTCTGGAGGCTGAGGTGGGACAATCGCTTGAACCTAGGAGGCTGCAGTGAGCTGAGAATGCACCACTGCACTCCAGCCTGGGCAACTGAGTGAGACTTTATCTCAAAATAAAAGAAAGAAAAAAGAGAAAGTCAAATTTATGAATGTCAAGAATCTAACATGAGGCTTACATTTCTCTATCTTGCCCATAAGCATAACCTAAAAAACCATCTAAACCTTTACAGAAATAGCGAGAGACCTTAAGCGCAGCATCCCTCTGATGTAACAGTCTTACTAGTAAGAAAGGAAGAGAAGCCAAGGGTCCCACATTAGCCAACAAACTCACCGCAATCATACTGGATGAGTCTCAAGTCGGGGAACTGGGTGCGCATGTTACACACAATACGGTGCAAAGGACGAGCCCGGGGCCAGAGCTCAGAGGCCAATTGCTCCTGGAAGGCTGCCTGACGTGGGGCCAGCCAAGGAGGTGGGTGGCAGGCATGCAGGGAAGGGGGAGGTGCCTCCACAGGAGGCATGACAAAGATGAACCTGTGGAAGGAAGGCAGGCAGTGTAAAAGATGGCACTCTGAAATGCCCCAGAAGTTAACACCTTCACCAGCCCTAAGCACTACATCCACTCTGAGGCCCCAAGACCCACTCCCCATTAGCACTTAGCCCTGCCAACCTCTCAATGATTTCTGACAGCTGGTCTAGTCGCTGCTGGGGAAACAGTACAGCCCGGTGGGCAGCCTCGGTATAAGTCCAAAAGGTGGGGTGGCTGGGGCCAGGAGAACGAGGGCCGATGGGGCTGGCAACAGGTTGGGGTAAGGTACAGAAATCCAGGACTTCAGTCCCATACACAGGTGCCAGGGCCCCATGAGCCTCACTAAGTCGGAAAATCCGTTCCAGGCGTTCAGACCGCTGCCGCTTCCGCTTTTCCTCCAGGGAGTCCTGGAGGTGAGAGAAAAACAGAGAAAGTAATCAGGGCCCTCAGAGTCCATATCAAAACCTGACTGTTCTTCCCAGATAGAAATATACAGAAACCATGAGATCCAAAAATACACTATGCTTTTTGTAGTTTTCCAAGTTATCAATGAGAACTATTCTTTTCACAATATTAAGTAACTTCTCTGTAAGAGAAAACTGATCTTTCCTTGCATGCTACCAAAGCAGAATGACTGAATATTCAAAATTAAGATCTACAATTCCAGCAAGTTTACAGAATGGACAATTTATGGGTATTTTCCTATGTAACACTCAACTCCAGGACTACAGCCTTCTTCAAATCACTGACCAGGATACAGAGAGGCCAATCAAATCCAGACGAGGTTTTTGCCAAAGGCCAGACTGGAATGGGGTGGAATGGGAACAGCTAACCAGATATCCAGGTCTCGTCACTCTAAGACAGAAAATGGGCAACCTGGCAGTAAGGAGACCAGGATGACTTTGACCCAATCCTTTCCCATCTTTGTGCTTCCAGTTTCACAGTTTGTAAAACTTCTTTGTATCACTTATTATGCTTGTAGTTACACATTTGTACGATTATTTGACTAACATCTGTCCACTACACGGTAGGCCCCACACAACATGAATTATGCCTTGCTCACCATAATCACCCAGTAACTAGCACAATTAAGCTTCCAATACATCTATCTGTTAACAAAATGAATAAATGAGAGAGACTAGACCCCAGGAGATAGGTGTGAAAAGAGGAGTGTTCCAAATCTCCTTCCTGATTCCAAGTATCACCTCTTGGTTTGAAGTGCTCTAAGTGATGGAAAAAAAGTGTCCTAGCAGAGGGAAAAACCAATAGACTCAAAGAGCTAGTTCCTTTTGAGGCTAGCTCTCAACAGTAACAAAAAGAGAAAATCTGGCCAGGAGCAGTGGCTCAAGCCTATAATCCCAGCACTTTCGGAGGCCTAGGCAGAGCTTGAGCCTCCTGTTCAAGAACAATTTGGGCAACATGGCAAAACCCCATCTCTACAAAAAAATACAAACAAGGGCCAGGCGCGATGGCTCACACCTGTAATCCCAGCACTTTGGGAGGCCGAGGTGGGCGGATCATGAGGTCCAGAGAACGAGACTATCCTGTCCAACATGATGAAACCCCGTCTCTACTAAAAATACAAAAAAAAATTAGCTGGGTGTAGTGGTGCGAGCCTGTAGTCCCAGCTACTCAGGAGGCTAAGGCAGGAGAATCGCTTGAACCTGGGAGGCGGAGGGTGCAGTGAGCCAAGATCGCACACTGGACTCCAGCCTGGTGACAGAGTGAGTCTCCGTCTCAAAAAAAGAAACAAACAAGTAGCCTGGTATGGTGGTACGAATCGGCAGTCCCACCTACTTGGAGGGCTGAGATGGAAGGTTCACTTAAGCCCAGGAGGCTGCAATGAGCAGAGATTGTGCCACTGCACTCTAGCCTGGGTGACAAAGTGAGACACTGCCTCAAAAAAAAAAAACTATTTGTAAACCATACATCTGAAAAAGGATCTGTAACCAGAATATATAAAGAACTCTTACAACTCAATAATAAAAAGATAACCCATTTTAAAAAGGCAGAGGATCTGAACAGATAGTTCTTCAAAGATATACAGATGGCCAACATAGTATTTCAATCACATGAAATAAAGCTCAACATCAGCCAACAGGAAAATTCAAATCAAAATCACAATGAACTACTACTTCACACCCAGCAGGACGGCTATAATCAAAATAAGTGTTGATGTGCCTCAGCCTTTGGGAGGCTGAGGCAGGCAGATCACTTGAAGTCAGGAGTTCAAGACCAGCATGACAAACATGGTAAACCCCATCTCTACTAAAAATACAAAAAAATCTGGCCAGGCACAGTGGCTTACGTCTATAATCCCAGCACTTTGGGAGGCCAAGGCGGGCGGATCACCTGAGGTCAGGAGTTCGAGACCAGTCTGGCCAACATGGTGAAACCCTCTCTCTACTAAAAATACAAAAACTAGCCAGGCGTGGTGATGCCATGCCTGTAGTCCCAGCTACTTGGGAGGCTGATGCAGGAGAATCGTTTGAGCTTGGGAGACGGAGGTTGCAGACAGCTGAGGTGGTGCCACTTTACTCCAGCCTGGGCAACAGAGCAAGACTCTGTCTCAAAAATAAAATATTGGCCGGGCGCGGTGGCTCAAGCCTGTAATCCCAGCACTTTGGGAGGCCGAGACGGGCGAATCACAAGGTCAGGAGATCGAGACCATCCTGGCTAACCCGGTGAAACCCCGTCTCTACTAAAAAATACAAAAAAAACTAGCCGGGCGAGGTGGCGGGCGCCTGTAGTCCCAGCTACTCGGGTGGCTGAGCCAGGAGAATGGCGTAAACCCGGGAGGCGGAGCTTGCAGTGAGCTGAGATCTGGCCACTGCACTCCAGCCTGGGCGACAGAGCGAGACTCCGTCTCAAAAAAAAAAAAAAAAGAAAAAGAAAATATTAATAATAAAAAAAATTAAGTGGGCATGGTGGCACATGCCTGTGATCCCAGCTACAAGGGAGGCTGAGGTGGGGTCATTGAACACCTCAATGACCCCAACCTCAGGCAGGGGGGGTTGCAGTGAGCCAAGATCATGCCAATGCACTCCAGCCTGTGTAACAGAGCAACACTCCTTCTCAAAAAGGAAAAAAAAAAAATATGGACTCAAATGTGGAGAAACTGGAATCCTCACAGACTGCTGGTGCTAATGTCAAATGTTGCAGCCACTTTGGAAAAGTCTGGCAGTTCCTTAAACAGTTAACACCTAGTTACAATATAACCCAGCAATTCTTCTCCTCAGTATGTATCTAACAGTAACTGAAAACACCTGTCCATACAAAAACTTGTACATGAAATGTTCACAACAGCATTGTTCATAATAGCCATAAAGCAGAAGTAATACATGTTTCCATCAACTCAAGGAAGGATAAAATGTGGTATCCATACATTATTATTCAACATAAAAACAAATGAAGTACTGATATATGCTACAACACAATAAACTTCAAGGAACATTAATCTAAGTGCAAGATGCCAATCACAACAGACCACACATTATACATTATGACTCCATAGGCAAAACTAGAGAAACAAAAAAGTAGGAATGGTGGTCATTCAAGACTAGGAGGGATGGAGGGATTGAGGAATGCTAGCTAACAGGTGCAGTGTTTCTTTTTGGGGCCATGGAATGGTTCTGATTGTGTTGATGATTGTACAACTCTATAAATATATTACAAAACTATTATACAGTTTAGGGCCAGGCGTGGTGGTTCACACCCATAATCCCAGCATTTTGGGAGACCAAGATAGGAGGATCACTTGAGGCCAGGAATTCAGGACCAGCCTGATCAACACAGTGAGACCCCCATCTCTATTTAAAAAAAAAAAAAAAAAAAAAAGCTATTGTACACTTTAAATGGGTAAATTGGATAGTATATGACTTACAGCACAAACTGTTAAAAAAAAAGTGGCAAGAGGCTATTATCTACTTGCAGAGCAATCAAAATTCAACGTATCATCCAAGATGGGGGAAAAAAAATTCAGCACAGACTACACGTCGTCACTCTTGGCTTTTCTCCCTCTACTCTCTACTTCCAACCAGCCATGACCAACCTAGCGGCTGGTCAGGTAAAGACCAAAGGTGGAGTCAATGGCAACGGTGGAGGGTGGGGGAGTAAGCAGGAAGCAAAGACTAAGCAGCAGCTCTGATTATAGTGGGGAAAACCCAGAGGGCCTGGAGGGACCCACTGGACCGTCCTTCTCCTTAGTTCTGGGTTACTTAAGCTGAAACTGTGAGTTTAACTCAACTACTACACAGACATGGGCCTATATACATAGTACAGGAAAGAAATGGCTACCAGAAATCATAAAAGGGACAGAGAAGAGTTCCTTTTACTGCCCATTTATTACCATGCAGGTTAAAAAACGGGAAAAGAGGCCGGGCGCGGTAGCTCACGCCTGTAATCCTAGCACTTCAGGAGGTCGAGGTAGGCGGATCATGAGGTACACACCCAGGGAAGAGAAGGGACTTGTCCAAATGTCACTCAAGTACTTGGTCCATAACATTAAGCTTTGTAATTCACCAGGTTAAATGTGACATCATTGTTCCATCCACCCTACCAATACTCCAAAGAAACTCAACTTCCTGTTCCCTCTCGAGGAAGTAAAACTTACCAGATAAAAAGGGGAACGAGGTGGTGGGGGGGGCTGGCGTCGAGGCCGGGGGCCACCAAACGAGGTAGCAGTGGAGGGAGGGCTGGGGGGATCAGAGCGCAATGTCAGTGTGTCAGGCTCATCCTTGGAAACAGGCAGCCGGGATACCATGGTGACAGGCAAGGGAGCGGCACCAGATGCCGAAACCGTAAGGGAAGATGCCTGGGAAGCTGGGGACTGTGTGGAGGCTGGGGCCAGCGCCAAGGTCTGAGCTGCAGCCGGGCCCAGGGTAGGAACTGGGGCAGGGCTCAAGGTCAGTGTCTGCACTGAAGCTGGGGCCAGGAGTGAAGCAGATGACGATGCTGGAGCCAAAGTCAGCGTGTGAGCTGCAGCTGGGCCCATCGGAGAAGCTGGAGCCAGAGGAGGTGCTGGAGCCAGAGACAGCGTCTGAGTTGGACCCAGTGGTGGTCCTGGTGCCAAAGACAGTGTCTGGGCTGGAGTTGGTACCAGGGATGATGCTGGAGTTAATGACAATGTCTGAGTTGGAAAGGGTCCCTGGGGGTTCCCCGTGCCCAAAGAGAGTGTCTGAGATGGAGATGAGCCTCCAAGAGTGGGTGCTAAAGCTGGGGCTAGGGCCAGTGTCTGTGTAGAAACCGGGCTCGGGAGAGGTGATGGAACCGGGGCTGGTAGCAAAGTTTGAGTTGATGATGAAGCCAACACAGGGGTTGGAGCTGGTACCAGTGAAGCTGAGGCTAAAGAGGTTCCTGGAGTAGACGATGGAGCCATAACTGGAACCGGAGTCTGTGATGAAGCCAGGACAGGAGCAGGACCTGGCGATGGTGCCAGGACTGGAAGAGGAGCCAGAGTAGGAGCTGGAGAAGGAGCCAGAATTGCTGTCTGTGGAGATGCCATAGAAGCCAGAGGGGTGGCTAGAGCCTGAGATGTAGAAGATGCTGGAGCCAGAAGGGAAGCCTGAGCTGGAGCTGGATTTGGTGCTGCCGGAAAAGGATTGGCCAGAGCTGAAGCTGGCACCAGGACAGGTGAGCATGCTGGGGCCACGGTTGAGTTCAACCCTGGAACATGTGAAGAGGTGGGAGCCAACAACAGAGGGTGACCAGGTGTCTGAGATGAAGACAGGGACGGAGCTGTGGCCAAACCTAGAGTCAAGGCTGATGCTGATGGGGAAGCACCAGATGGTGCCAAGGATGGAGGTCCAGGAGCCGCTGGGACAACAGGTGCCAGTGGTGGAGTCACACTGGTCAACAGAGCTGGGCCCGAAGCGGAAACAGGCAAGGGGGCTGAGATGGGGACGGTGAGTGGAGCCGAGGCTGGGGCAGGAAGTGTGGTGGGGACAGAGATGGGGAGTGAAGATGACGCTGGAACTGAGACTGTAGAGGACACAGGACTAGCAAGAGGAGAGGAGTTGGGAATTGGCATTGGAGAAGAGCCTGGCCCAGGGAGTGAGGATGGCACATGGAGAGGAGAAGAGATGGTCAAGGGGGCAGTTCCAGGGGTTGAAGCTGTGGAGAGAGAGAATGAGTTAGCCCCAGAATAACTTCCTGACCCTTTCCTGACTGTCCCACCTTTCCCTTACCCCCAAGCTTCCCATTTCCCAGAAGGCATTCACTCCCACAACATGAAGTCAAACATCCAAGTAATCTGACAACTTTAGATTTTCTTTCCCTCCAAGATTCCAGCAAATGTATCTTGAAATTAGGTCAGGGCTCAGGCAGCCCAGTTCTGGGGCCCACTACAAATCAAGGCAGTATGCTGATATGAAGAAACTTGCACTAAAACTAAGAAACCTTCGGGCAACCCCATCTCATCTCCATTCCTGACAAGGATTTCTGGCCTCAGCCACCTGGACTCACCACTGACTTCAGGTGAAGGACTGTGGACCAGCTTGAGAAGAGGCCTCACCAGAGTGGGTGTGGGCATGGGGGCTCGGGCAGTACCCAGAGTAGGTGTGGGTAGCCGGCCAGGGGTTAACGTGGGGCGTGGATTCAACACAGCTGGAAGCCCAGAGCTCGGAGGCCGGGGTGCTGGGGCCAACGGAGGAACAGGAGTCAGTCCATCCCGAGGGGCTTGTCTCACTACAATCTTCACCACGCCTGTATTATTCACCATGGTTGGTGGCACTGCAAGAGGAAGCTACACTGAGAGGAAGGTAGAAAAGAAACAAGAGACCCAAAGGATGGAAGAAGTCCAGGGGCAGGAGAAGGTGGCAGACAGGTATCATAGATATTCGTAAGGGAAAACAACACTGAGGAAAGGCTGGACAGACAGTAGCCCAGCGCATGCCTGGAAGGACCAAGGCCAACAAGGGCTAAGGAATTAGGAAGGCCAGGAGCCTCACCCTGGTTAGCAGCAAGCGGAAGGCTGAGGCCAGTGGGGGCAAGGGTGGTGCTGGGGGTCGAAGAAGGCAGCACAGAGACAGGGGTAGGGCCAGGGGTCGGGGCCACGGCCTGGATGAGGGCCACATGGGCAGGCTGGCTGATGAGGTGGTGCTGCCCCCCTGCTGACACGAGGTGCACCACATTCCCTGGGTTAAGGGAAGAGAGAAAGAGAGAGAGAGAAGCAGCTATCAGCCTGAGGAGGGCAGAGGCAAGGCAAGAAGAGAGGGAAAGAACAGAGGGAATAAATTCTCTAGAATGACCTCTTCCCTATCTTTATCCAAGATCCCTCCAACCATGCCCGTTGGCCCCACCCACCAAAAGCTTGGGAAAGAAACATTAAGGCTGACATTTAAAAAAGTCACAAAAACAAAGAGACAGGGAAGAGGAGGAAAAAGGCAGGACAGGGGGTGGGTTTTACCTACTTTGCAGCGGGCGGGGCTGCCCCACAGCAAGCTGGCGCACCTGGGCACCAGTCAGTGTCAGCTTGTTGCCCTGGATTTGGAAGGTGAGAGGTTTGCTTCCCCCTGCATTAGCCACTGGACGTTGTGCCAGTGAGGCTAACTGCCCGATGCTGACCACTTCACCTGCTAAAAACAGAGAAGGCCTTATTGTACACAAAGTTCACCCTGCTTAACACCACTTCACAGACCCCAGGAAGCACACCTCTTCCCCGAGTGTCCAGTCCAACCAACCAAGCCTTTCCCACAATTTACTGTGTCCCAACAAACTCAGTCTCCACCTACAGCCTTTGGCTTTTGATGTGCTACTCCTTTCAATCCCATTTGCTTAGCAATCTCCTTTATATTCTCTAACACGGCCTGCCACAAGACTGAGTTAACCACCACCCTCTGCTCTACACTGCCCTTTTACCCCAAATACTTTTCTACCACTAGGCTTACCACTATTTATTCACATATGTGTCATCTCTCTATGTCAATTCCTTAAGGGCTCTTAATTATGATCTAACAACGTCTGGTGTAATACCTAACATGCTAGCTGCCTCAATTTTTTTTGACACAGGGTCTTGCTCATGATTGCAGTGGCGCAACCATGGCTTACTGCAGCTTCCAAACTCCTGGCTCAAGCAATCCTCCAACCTTGACCTCCCAAAGCGCTGGGATTATAGACATGAGCCATTATGCCTGACCCAGCTGCCTAAAATTTGATGCTGTCATAGTCCTGAGCTTTCCTCCCATCTCAAGTCCCTCACCACAGAGCCCTGGGAACTTACAGGGCAGGCGAGCTTGCATATCGGGAGATAGAATGAGGCGCTGTGGTGCAGGAGTCGGAGCTGGCACTGCTGTCGTGGTAGCAGTTGCCGTGGTGGTAGAAGTGGTAGTGGCAGCAGCAGGAGGGAAGGTGTAACCTGGTGGCACTGTCAGGGGCTTCAACAGGCTAGAGGAACCTGGAGGTGGGGCTGGGCTCAGTCGAACTGGGGCAGGTGGTGTTGGCTTTAGGGACAAGGTTGGCGTGGGAGGCCGTGAGGTCCCACTCAGGACTCCCAGGGGGGATGGCAACACTGCAGACACAAAGCAAACACCTGTCAGATATACCCTGACTAAAGCCTTGGCCTGGTCCCAGAAGCCTCCATCCTCCCTTCCAGCCCATCAAATACTAGACCCCTGTCCCCAGCCCAGCTCCTCAAACCCTTTAATTTCACTACTTCTTCCTCAGTCTGAACAACTTTTCTGAAGCACCATGCATCATCCTTGGCTCCCTTTCAACTCACCCTGAGTGAGAGAACCACTGTTTGGCTGCAGTGGAGGCAAGATGACAGGGCCAGGAGGCCGAGATGCAGGAATAAGGGGGGGTCCAGCAGGTGAGGCTGAAACCATCAGTGGTGCTGGCAGCACTGAGGGGGCTGGGCCAGGGCTGGGCTGGGCTGAGAGCTCAGGACCTGGAGGGGGTCGAACCGGGACAGGGCCCAGGGGCGTCCGTGGGTTGTTCACTACGACCACTGTCCGGCCTTCTTGCTTAGGTACTGGCTGCAGCATCCTATGAGGAAAAATTTAGGGAGTGGGTAGGGAGAGAAGGAGAATAAGAGGTAGCAAAATCAAAGAAAAGAAGAAAATGAAGCAGGGAGACAGATTATAAAAGCAAGATTATAAAAGCAAAGGAAAGGAAAGAGACCCAAAGGAGAAAGAGAAATAGGAATTTAAGATAATCAGAAAGCACCAAACAGACAGAATGGGAGAAAAAGTGACTAACACAGAAGCCCATCCCAGCACCCTCTTCTAGTTATTCTCTCCCCGATTCCCTCCACGTGTCTGCACCCATCCCATACAAATATTCCAGCCTTGTATCCAACTCTTTTCTTCCCATCCCAGGCCCCTCCGGCCAGCTTTCAGCCATTCTAGGAACCATCCCCTCATTCCTTAGTCCTTGTACCTGTTGACCTTCATCTTGACTGGCTTGGGCCGGGGTGGGGGATCAGGAGCAGTAGCCACCTCTAGCAGTACCCGGCGAGAGAGGCGGTGCCGGGGCAGAAATGTGTCTGTCTCATATCGAGAGACACGACCTTCCAGGCCAATAAGGTCAAATCGACCCATGTCTATCCGCTGCCACAAGAAAGAACACAAAGCACAGTCATAAAGAACAAAATCACACATCCTTCGAAATGTAGATGTAGCTGGAGGCCATTATCCTTAAGTGAATTAACACAGAAACAGAAAACCAAATACCACATGTCCTCAGACACAAGTGGGAGCTAAACATTGGGCACACATGAACATAAAGATGAGAACAAGACACACCAGAAACGACTGGGTGAAAGGGCTGAAAAACTACCTGTTGGGGACCATGCTCACAACCTGAGTGACAGGATCAATTGTACCCCAAACCTCAGCATCATGCAATATACCCCATGTAAGACACCTGCACATGTACACCCTTACTCCAAAATAAAAGCCTGGGCATGGTGGCTCAAACCTGTAATCCCAGCACTCTGGGAGGCCAAGATTGGGGAACTGTGTGACCCCAGGAACTTGAGATCAGCCTAGGCAACATAGTAAGACCCCGTCTCTACAGAAAATAAAAAATTAGCCAGGCATGTTAGCATGCACCTGTAGTCCCAGCTACTCAGGAGACTCAGGCAAGAGGATTGCTTGAGTCCAGGTGGCTGAGGCTGCAGTGAGCTATGATCATGCCACTGCACCCCAGCCTGGGCCACAGAACAAGACCCTGTCTCAAAAGAAAAAAAAAGTAAAAAAATAAATAATAGGCAGGGCACCATGGCTCACACCTGTAATCCTCCTACTTTAGGAGGCCAAAGTGGGCAGATCACTTGAGGCCAGGAGTTCGAGACCAGCCTAGCCAACACAGTGAAACCCCATCTCTACTAAAAATACAACCAGAGTGGTTGTGCACATCTGTAGTCCCAGCTGCTCAGGAAGCTGAGGCACAAGAATCGAGAATCACTTGTACCCAAGAGGCAGAGGTTGCAGTGAGCCGAGACTGCACCACTGTACTTCAGCCTGGGTGACAGAGTGAGACTCGGTCTCAAAAAAAAAAAAAAAGGCCGGGCGCGGTGGCTCACGCCTGTAATCCCAGCACTTTGGGAGGCCGAGGCGGGCGGATCACAAGGTCAGGAGATCGAGACCATGGTGAAACCCCGTCTCTACTAAAAAATAGAAAAAAAATTAGCCGGGCGCAGTGGCGGGCGCCTGTAGTCCCAGCTACTCGGAAGGCTGAGGCAGGAGAATGGCGTGAACCCGGAAGGCGGAGCTTGCAGTGAGCCGAGATTGCACCACTGCACTCCAGCCTGGGCGACAGAGCGAGACTCCGTCTCAAAAAAAAAAAAAAAAAAAAAAAAATAGTAGTAATAACACAATGCACAGTGTCAAAGATGCCAATTTTACAATAATTTATTGAATATGATGCCAAAAGCACAGCCAACAAAAGAAAAAAATAGATAAATTGGACTACATCAAAATTTGTAACTGGGGGCCGGGTGCAGTGGCTCACGCCTGTAATCCCAGAACATTGGGAGGCCAAGGCGGGCAGATTACCTGAGATCAGGAGTTCCAGACCAGCTGAGCAACATGGTGAAACTCCATCTCTACTAAAAATACAAAAATTAGCTGGGCATTGTGGCACTCACCTGTAGTCCCAGCTAGTTGGGAATGAGCCAGGAGAATCACTTGAACCCAGGAGGTGGAGGTTACAGTGAGCTGACACTGCACCACTGTACACCAGCCTGAGCAACAGAGTGAGACTCCAACTCAAAAAAAAAAAAGGGGGGGGGGGGGGGCAGGCACAGTGGCTCATGCCTGTAATCCCAGCACTTTGGGAGGCCAAGGCAGACAGATCACCTCAGGTCAGGAGTTCGAGATCAGTCTGGCCAGCATGGTGAAACCCCATCTCTACTAAAAACAAAAATTAGTTGGGCATGGTGGCGCATGCCCGTAATCCCAGTTACTGGGGAGGCTGAGGCAGGAGAATTGCTTGAATCCGGGAGGTGCAGGCTGCAGCGAGCCGAGATCGCACCATTGGACTCTAGCATGGGCAACAAGAGTAAAACCCAAAAAAAAAAAAAAAATTTAAAACGAGGTGGCCGGGCGCGGTGGCTCAAGCCTGTAATCCCAGCACTTTGGGAGGCCGAGACGGGCGGATCACGAGGTCAAGAGATCGAGACCATCCTGGTTAACACGGTGAAACCCCGTCTCTACTAAAAAATACAAAAACTAGCCGGGCGAGGTGGCGGGCGCCTATAGTCCCAGCTACTCGGGAGGCTGAGGCCGGAGAATGGCGTGAACCCGGGAGGCGAAGCTTGCAGTGAGCTGAGATCCGGCCACTGCACTCCAGCCTGGGCGACAGAGCTACACTCTGCCTCAAAAAAAAAAAAAAAAAAAAAAAAAAAAAAACGAGGTGTGGTAGCTCACGCCTATAATCCCAGGGCTTTGGGAGGCCAAGGTGGAAGGATCACTTGAGGCCAGGAGTTCAAGACCCATCTGAACTAACATGTAACACCACGATCTCTATAAAAAAATTAAAATAAAAGCTAAATCACTCAAAATATAGTGGTACATGCATATAGTTTCAGCTACTTGGCCCAGGAGTTTGAAACCAGCCTGAAACAACATGGTGAGACACCACATAAAAAAAAAAAAAAAAAAAAAAAAAAAAAAAAAAAAAACGAGGTGTGGTAGCTCACGCCTATAATCCCAGGGCTTTGGGAGGCCAAGGTGGAAGGATCACTTGAGGCCAGGAGTTCAAGACCCATCTAGGCAACATATCAACACCCGATCTCTATAAAAAAATTAAAATAAAAAATAAAAAAATCACTCAAGTATAGTGGTACATGCATATAGTTTCAGCTACTTGGCCCAGGAGTTTGAAACCAGCCTGAGCAACATGGTGAGACACCATCTCTACAAGAAAACTGAAAAAAAAAAAAAAAAAAAAAAAAAAATTAGCGAGGCCGGGTGCGGTGACTCACCTGTAAACCCAGCACTTTAGGAGGCTGAGATGGGCAGATCGCGAGGTCAAGAGATGAAGACCATCCTGGGAAACAATGGTGAAACCCCATCTCTACTAAAAATACAAAAATTAGCTGGGTGTGGTGGTGCGCGCCTGTAGCCCCAGCTACTCAGGAGGCTGTGGAGAATTGCTTGAACCTGGGAGGCAGAGGTTGCAGTGAGCCAAGATGGCACCACTGCACTCCAGCCTGAGGTCAGAGCGAGACTCCGTCTCAAAAAAAAAAAAAAAAAAAAAACCAGGCATGGTAGTGCATACCCGTGGTCCCAGCTAGTCAGAAGGCTGAGGTGGGAGGACTACTTGAGCCCAGGAGTTCAAGGATACAGTGAGCTATGATTGTACCACTGAACTCTAGCCTTGGTGACAGAGATAGACCTTGTCTCGAAAAAAAAAAAAAAAAAACAAAACACCAAAAACAAGTGTTTGCACATCAAAAAACACTATCAACAGAGTGAAGACAACTCACGGAATGAGACAAAATATTTGCAAATCATACATCTGGTAACGGTTTAATTTCCAAAGTATATAATGAAGTCCTACAGCTCAACAACCACCACACAAACACCCAAAATAAACAAGTCTTCAATAGACATTTATCCAGAAATATAGACAAGGGGCCAATGAGCACATGAAAAGATCCTTGACAGCCCTCATCATTAAGGAAATGCAAACCAAAACCACAATGAAATACCAATTCACACTCATTAATATGGGTGTAATAAAACAAAGAACAGGTAATGGCAAGGATGTGGAAAAATTAGAACCCTTGTGCCCTGCTAGGGTGGAAATGTAAAACATGCAGCTACTATAGAAAACAGTGTACAGGTTTTCCCAATATGCAAAAATCGAATTACTGTATGTTACAGCAATATTCCTTTTAAGTAAATACCCAAAGTAAAAAGCAGAGATATTTGTACATCCATGTTCATAGCCTTATTCACAAGAGACAAAAGGTGGAAAGAATCCAAGTGCCCACTGATAGATGAATGGATAAACAAAATGTGATGCAAATGCTCCCAGACTTACGATGAAGTTACATCCCAATAAACCCTTAGCAAATCGAGAATTTAATGCCCTTTAATACCCTTGACAAGCCCATCAAAAAGTAAAAAACTGTAAGCTGAATCATTCTAAGTCCAGATGCTCCTCAATTTACAATGGGGTTACATCCTGATAAATTCACAGTGAAGCCAAAAAAATATTAAGTTGAACCATCGTTAAGTCACATGACTAGAGTACAATAAAACTAAGGGAATGATACTTAGGGGAGTAATAAGGATGCAAAAGTCAGACCCCAGTCTAACGAAAAGAGGTACATGGTTGGGGTAATGCCAATAACCTTTATATTTCACATTAATGGAATCATACTTACCTGGAGGGGATGGACATCCGTGGCCCTTAGCACCAGAGAGGCGGTGCTGAAGCAGATGCCTGGGGTGATGAAAGGGGAGGTAACCGGTCGAGGGTCGAACAGATTTGGATGATTGCAAACTTTTCTCAGCTGCATCAAAATGTTGATGACGCTCATGAAATGGCCTGTGGCTAGTGTCTCCTTAGTTCTAGGGAAAGAGGAAAAATAAATGGGACGCCCTAACAGCCACCTACACTTCAATCTCGAGTCCCAGGGCCCACCCTCCTTCCTCCCTTACGTGGTTTGTGCCATGAAGTCATCATAGAGACAGCGTTGACGCTTGGAGAGCCTGCAGCGGATAACATGCTCATACTTTTTGGGCATCTGCTTCTCAACATCCACCTTAACTCGGCGCAGTAAAAAAGGCCTCAAAACCTAAAAGCAAATTAAGCAGGAGGCTAAACAGGAGAACTTAGGCACCAAACCCCAGCCTAAGCCCCTCAGTAAACACGAATGGAGCCATACGGCACACCATATCAGACACCAACCACACAGAGATGAGTCAACTGCAAGCCCTCAAGGGATCTGCTGTCTGCTGAAGGAGACAGACACAAAATGATACCACGACACAGGAAGTGATATAAGGAAGCACTGTGGGCAGACCAACTATGCAGGAGAGAAAACTCAAACTAGATTTTGAGGAGTGATTGTAAGTTTACAAGATGATGCAAATAAATCTAGAAGATGAGGAGAACAAAAACTGTGGCCTTGATGGGAAATAAAACGAAAGGCAAATCTGAAATCTCAGAAGATAAAATCCGATAGGACATAGTCATCAATGTCTACAGTGACATGGAAGAAGCAAGGGAGGTAAATGAAGGAAAAGTAACAGTTAAGGAAGACTTCCTGTTTTCTAGCTTAGTTTACCAAATGATAGTGATTGACCAAGATGGCCTTTTAACAGGCTATAAGGCCAGAGATGTCTAGCTTAGAACAGTGTTGAGTTCAAGAGGAACTTTCAATTAATGATACCAAATCAGAAATTTAAATACAGGTCAAGTGATCTAGAAAGTCAAGGACTTTTAGTACAGACTGGAGAGTCTTTATCACATAAGAAATAGTCAAAGCTTTAGGAATGAGAAGGCCTGTGAGATATGTAGACTGAGAAGACAAAAAAAAGTAAAGATTGGAATGCTGAAAGATGTTGTGATTTAAAAGCTGGGCAAAAAAGGAGAGCCAAAGAAGACCAGAGAGAGAAACACCAACAATATGAAGTTGAAGAAATCCAGGTAAAGAGAAATCCAAGCAGGGACCAATCAGCAGTACCATTCTACTCAAAGACAATAAGGACAAAAACATCACCATTAAAAAAGAAAAAAAAACCGGTTGGGAATGGTGGCTCACGCCTGTAATCCCAACACTTTGGGAGGCCAAGAGGGACAGGGCGGATCATTTGAGGTCAGGAGTTCGAGACCAGCCTGGCCAAGATGGTGAAAACTGCCTCTACTAAAAATAACAAATATTAGCTAGGTATGGTGGCGCAGACCTGTAACCCCAGCTACTCAGGAGGCTGAGGCAGGAGAATCACTTGAACCCAGGAGGTGGAGGCTGCAATGAGCCAGATCACGCCACTGCACTCCAGCCCGCAGGACAGAGCGAGACTCTGTTACAAAAAAAAAAAAAACAAAAAAAAAGGCCGGGCACAGTGACTCACGCCTATAATTCCAGCACTTTGGGAGACCAAGGCAGGCAGAACAAGAGGTCAGGAGATTGAGACTATCCTGGCTAATATGGTGAAACCCCGTCTCTACTAAAAATACAAAAAATTAGCTGTGCGTCGTGGCGGATGCCTTTAGTCCCAGCTACTCGAGAGGCTGAGGCAGGAGAATGGCGTGAACCCGGGAGGCAGAGCTTGCAATGAGTGGAGATCGAGACACTGCACTCCAGCCTGGGCAACAGATCGAGACTCCGTCCAAAAAAAAACAAACAAACAAACAGAATGGATGACTAAGATGAGGTCATTCAATCTGGCAATGGGTAGTCACTAAAACATTGCAGCTTGACAACTGAGTTCAGCCTGGCACTGACTTCCCTCTCCCCAAGGGTTTCCTGGGCAGTGCCTAGGAATGGTTCCTCACCATTCCCAATACCCTGACAAACTGTTGCAGGCCCTACCTTGTGGAGGCGTTTGACAAGACCTTCATTATACTCTTGGCTGCCCTCAATCATGCCAGTTAGGGGATTAGAGAACCACTCCTTGAACTCGCGATGAGACTGGAAGACATGGGGCATCAAAAAGTGCATCAAGGACCACAGCTCCATGAGGCTGTTCTGCAAGGGAGTTCCTGTCAGGAGCAGGCGCCTCTGGCTGCAAAGAGACAGAGAGAATCAGAGGGAGGATGGTCAGCAGCTCCCAACCTTCTGAGCATTCTGATACATTCCTCAACCCAGGCAGCCCTCCCTTCAAGCCAAGTCAACCCTCCCATGAATCCCCATCTCCATCTCCACCTGTTGAAGTTGAGGAGTGACTGCCAGCGCTGTGACTTGAAGTTTTTGATGTTCTGTGCCTCATCCAGAATGAGATAGCGCCAATTCTTGCGGCGGAAGGCCTGGTGGTCCTGCAGCACCAGCTTGTAAGATGTGATACAAACATGGAAGGCATTGGGCTTGGTCCAGCCCTGAAGGATCAAAGACAGAAAGTAGCAGATAGTGGGATGAAAAGAAAAGAGAGCAAAGGGAAGACATGCTAAACTCCTCAAAGGACAGAAATCAGGTTGGAAGAAAAGAGAAAGTCCCAGCAAAAGAGTGGAGCGACAGAAAGAGGAGGGGCCTGGGCACGGTGGCTCACAGCTATAGTCTCAGTACTTTGGGAGGCTGAGGTGGGAGGATCTCAAGCCCATGTGCTCAAGGTCAGCTTGGTTAAAATAGACCCATCTCTATCTTTGCAAGAAATTTAAAAATTAAAAAAAAAAAGAAAAGAAAAGAAAGTGGAGGGAAAGGAATTCAACTGAAGAAAGGGCTTAAAAACAAAGGAGGCATCCACGGGGGGAAAGTGACCACATGAAAGATCGAACCTGCCGCTTGAGCTTCCTCTCTTTCTGGGCTCCATAGTAAGTGAGGATTTTAAAGCTGGGGCACCACCGTTTCAACTCCATTTCCCAGTTCAACATCACACTGGTGGGAACAATGATTAAATGGGGACCCCAGTTACCTGTTTGACAAAAAAATGAGAGATGGTAAGGAAATGTAAATTCTGTGGTTCCGACTCCTCAGTTATAACCCTGACCACCCTTTGGCCCTTCCTAGGAATCCTGGCACCTACACTGTCCTCCCTATACAGTTAATGACCAGAGTCAATGAAGCAGGAGTCAATGAAGCTGGAGTCATCACTAACAAGCTCCCCAGGGAGCTACACTAGGGGGCACAAAAGAAGGGGCCTTGCCTACTTACCTTTCTCACAAGCCAAGTGGGCAAGCAGGGAGATGGTCTGGATGGTCTTCCCAAGCCCCATCTCATCAGCAAGAATGCCATTAAGCTTCTTCTCGTACATGGTAACCAGCCAGTCTAGCCCAATGTGCTGGTACTCCCGGAGCTGGCCCCGCAGAAGCAGGGGGATGGGCGTCTTTACCTGGCAGAGAAGAAAAAAAGGTAACACAATGGAAATGAGGCATTTATCATGGGGACATGAGAAAAGTCAAGACAAGAGAAAGCAGAGGCCAGAACCTGGGGATACCTGGGTAGTGGCCAGCGTGTAACCCTTGGGCTGGAGACTTTCGGCTGCTGCAGCAATGTCAGTAATTTCTTTCTTTGGACCTAGAGTAGTGGTGGGCCCTGGAGTGGGAGGCCCACTGCCTGCATCTGCCTCACTCCGCTCTTCATCCCTGGCAAGCAAGTATTCCACCCCAAAATCATCATCTTCCTCCTCTTCATCTGCTTGGCTCTGTGATTGGGCATCCTCAGACTCTTCAGACTCAGATTCCTCTGATGCTGAACTTCCACTTGTTTCTTCCTCTTCTGAATGTTCATCTTCCTCATCCTCACTCTGGTCCTCCACAGAGTCTAAAGTGTAAGACCAAGGCTTACTGCTCACCATACCTGCTCCTCCAATGGCCACCCTCCCCGGCTCCTGCTTCATGACCACATATTCACCTGACTGACTGCTACTATCCTCCTGAGGAGCTTCTTCCGCTTCCACGGCCCCCTCTGGTTCACAGTCAGAGCTATTAGCATCAACCTCATCTTCATCCTCATCACCACTGCTCCCAGAGCCTGGGGCATAGGCTCCTGCATACTGCTGCAATAGCTCCTCCATGGAAAGCTCACCTGGAAGAGAAATAAAAGGGAAGCTTTTGGCTACTCTGAGGGGAGAGAGACGGGGAGGTCTGAGTGGTACCAATTAATTTTACCTAGGTCTCTGTAGATACTGCTAGGCCCAGGTCTGAGGGGAGGCAAAATAGCTTACTTTCAGCATCAGCTAGCAAAACCAAGCCCCACACAACCTGGGGGATGTACCATGGGAAGTGGGAAGAACATTATCAACCTGGTGAGCCTCTCAAGGTCCATGTCAGATACTGCCAATATCTTCTTACATTAGCTCTTCCCTCCATTTCACTCCCACATCACCATTTAAACTTCTATCATAAACACTCATCACTTTCTAATCATTATTCGTTTACAAGTCTGTCGTAGTCATTAGACACAGAATTCCTCCAGGGTGGATACAAACTGCCTTATTCATCTCTTTATCCTTGGTACTGCACAGAGCAGACACCAAGTGGATGCTTAGTAAAATGTCTGGTGAATGTCACCTTCTCGAGCCAACTCGCTCAGCTCCACGGCATGATCCACCTCCCCTTCCAACTGTTCCTCAGCTGCTATAGTGTCCTCTTCATCCTCCGCTAGGAAAGAGACAGAAGCAGGATCAACAGGGATAGAGGCTAGAGGCACAGGACACAGTCCAAATGAAACAGATGAGAAAGCCTGAAAGGTTAGGTCCAGACAATTCATTCAAGGGGTAAGTGGCAATAGGACAAACAGAACAGCCCTGACCTTCCTCCTCATTGGCAGTAAACTCTTCATCATCTTCATCTGGATGCCAAGGCCGTTTGTTGCACTGTGTGACAGCAGAGGGTGGGGGCTTTATCTGTGTGGCAAAAGATAAAAAAGGAAAGGGTCTAAGGTTAGAGTAGCATTAGAATGGCACAAACTTGAAAAAGATGTCACAGGAGAATCTCTATCCCATTGAGTGACAGCTGCCACTGGTACAATCCCAGGGCAAGAATACAATCAAGGGTTTTCTCTCAGCACCAACTACCAAATCCTGGCCCCACCGCCTGGGAAGGACCTGTGAAAGTACCAGGTAACAAACAAAGGTACCCAACATATCTCCATGCACTTGGGACATATGGAGAAAGAGAAAAGACTTAAGGGTACCATGCCAGCTTCCAACCTATAAGGCCAATGAGGGAATATTAGGTCACGTTCAGAGAAGTGGCAAGTAACAGTCAGAGCAAGTACTTTTTCAAGACTACATAGCAATTTAAAGAGTAAAGTACAATACACTCTTCCACTATAGTGCCAAAACCTGCCAATCATAAAATGCAACTTGACCCAAACAGATTCTTCCCCAGTCATCCCCAAAGAAGAGCCCAAATGTCCATTACTAGGTAGAACTCTCAAAACCCATAACCAACCTCATAGCCCCGAACTCAGACCCTGAACCTCTCCCTCTGCTCCCCCTCTGAACCCTCCCGTCTGCTCCTTCTGCCTATACCTCCAACACCTGAGGGGGCTCTTCTTCAGCACCTTCTTCAGGCCCATCTCGGGTGTCACTATCATGAGATGAGGGGGTTTGAGAGGGGCTGGAAGGCCCTTCCAGTAGTTGAGGGGGAAGGGAACGGAGCAGCTCTTCCAGTGGCAATTCTCCCTCACGGCGAAGCAGCTCAATCTCACGCCTCTGGGCCTCTGCATCATTGCCCTCCTGTTGTTCTTCAACCTCAATCGTTTCCTCATCATCCTCTTCCTCCTCCTCTTGGGGTTGAAAGTCCCCATCTATAGCAGGAGAACAAGGTCACAAAGTCCACGGGCCCTGCAAGCCACAGGGTGGGTTTTTCAGCTCTGGAAAGGGTACACGAGGAAGAGTAACAGGGCCAAAGAGAACACACACCTTCATCATCCAGGCGGGAAGCAGGGGGTGGAGGACTGGAGGCAGCTGAGGAAGAGCCGAGGCAAGGGGAAGAGCCTGCTTTGCTGCAGGCTAATGGCTGGTTGAGGCTCTGAGACAGAAGGTCCGAGTACTTTTCAGTTTGCCCAACAATGAAGTCCAAATGCAGGTCCAGGGCTTTTTTGCGCTTTTCCTCAAGCCGGGACTGTTGCTTGAATTGCACCACCTGCCACAGATGTGAAAGGGACTGCTCACCAAGATAACCATTTATTTAGGTACTTTTACCCGATGTTTAGGGAGGCCTTCTTTAACCAGATCCTGGGCTGGCCTCTTAGGAGAGTAAGGCTAAATAACCTTCAGGGCTTATTATGGTCTAAAGGAAGCACAAAGGGAGCATGCAGGAAGAAGAGCCAGCTTAGCCTCAGTTGGAGGGAAGATTTGCAATCTGATTTTTTTTTAAGAGATGAGGTCTCACTATGTTGGCCAGGTTGGTGTCAAACTCCTGGGCTCCAATGATCCTCCTGCCTTGCCCTCCCACATAGGTGGAACTACAGGCATATATCACCACACCCAGCTGGAATTGGATCTCAAAAAGTAGGCAAGTGGGCTGGGCACAGTGACTTATGCCTGTATTCTCAGCACTTTGGAAGGCTGAAGCGGGAGGATCACAGGAGGTCAGGAGTTCGAGACCAGCCTGACCAACATGGTGAAACCCCCATCTCTACTAAAAATACGAAAATTAGCCAGGCTTGGTGGTGGGCGCCTGTAATCTCAGCTACTCGGAAGGCAGAGGCAGGAGAATTGCTTGAACCCGGGAGGCAAAGGTTGCAGTGGGCCCAGATTGAACCACCACATTCTAGCCTGGGAACAAAGCGAGACTCCATCTCAAAAACAAAAAAAAAAACCAGGTAGGTGAAGCCAGGTATGGTGGTTCACACTTTGGGAGGTCAAAGCGAGAGGATTCCTTGAGCCTAGGAATTTAAGATCAGCTTGGTGTGTAACAGCGAGACCTTGTCTCCACAAAAAAATATTTTTAAGCCAGCTGCGGTGGCTCACACCTATAATCCCAGCACTTTTGAGAGGCCGGGGCCGGTGGATAACCTGAGGTCAGGAGTTTAAGACCAGCCTGGCCAACATGACAAAACTCTGTCTCTACTAAAAATACAAAAATTAGCCAGACATGGTAGCACATGCCTGTAATCCCAGCTACTCCAGAGAGTGAGGCAGGAGAATCACTTGAGCCCAGGAGGCAGAGGCTGCAGTAAGCCAAGATTGCGCCACGGCCCTGGGTGATGGTGCGAGACTCTGTTTCACAAAAAAATTTAAAAAAAAAAAAAAAAAAGAAAAAAAAAAGAAAAAAAAATTTTTCTTAATTAGCAAGATGTGGTAGCATGTGCCTGTAGTCCCAGATACTTGGGAGGCTGAAGCAGGAAGATCGCATGAGCCCAAGAGGCTGAGGATGCAGTAAGCCGTGATCGTACCACTGCACTCCAGCCTAGGCCACACAGCAAGACCCTGTCCAAGACAACTAAAAAACAGGTAGCTGTTCCCTAAGTACACATGAGGAAAAAGGCATTCCCAGCAGCATAAAGTCCATGTGTAAATGGCCAGAGATATACAAAAGAAAGATGGGTGTGGAGTGAAAGGGAGAAGGAAAGAACATGGCAGGAGGCAAGACTGAGAATATAGACGGAATACAGGTAGTACTTAAAAAATAATTACAACTTACTATATGGGCAGTGAGAACTTTGGCAGAATTTAAGCATGTAAGTGGCACAAATACATTTTAGTAAACACATGCTAAATGCCCTGCAAGGGACAGGTGGCCTAGAGCTGTCAAGTAGAACTATTAACAATCCCCAAAGAAAGAACTCATATTTTGCCACTATACTTTTTTATCCACACAACATAATCATCATTAGAGTTGCCTGAAATTACATTTACTCCCTCAAGAAGTTTTGATAATTCCTACTACCATGTCATCTACCAATCTAATCCAAGGCCATTTCCCTTTCCTGATCCCCACTGTCTACCTTCTCCACATTGCTCCAGAACTGCCTGACATCCTTGGCCATGGTGGAAGCGATTCGACGCAGCTTGGCCTGCTCCTCCCTCCGGGCCCGTTCCTCTTTCTGCCGCTGCTCCTCATGGTGCCGGATCACCATGCGCACCACCTGTGGGAATGAAAACCCAGGGTGAAAACACTCAAAGCCAGACTTCCCCACTCAAAGGCAAAGAAAATAATCAAGGCCAAGAAATCTGGAAAGTCAAGAGCTTGCCTCTTAATGCCTACATCATTCTGTTTGGTCACCTTCCAACTAACCCACCTTTCAAGGGAAAGCACAAACCTGAAAAGGAAAAGGAAGGCAGTCCCAGTGGAAGACCTACCTTACGGGCCACACCCCGTTTCCAACGGCGCTCCTGAGCAAAGTCAGCAGAGAGCCACTGCATCTCTTCGCACAGATAGTCCCAGTGACCTTTGGGGCGAGGGGGCTCTGGCACCTTAGGCAGCCTCTTCAGTGACCAGAAACCCTCCTTCCGCAGCTCAGCAATCCGAGTCTCAATCTCAGCCTCCTAATCAGGGAGAGCCAGATCAATCAACAGTTCTAAACACACACTCCGTCTCACTGCCACGGCTGAATTCCTGAACACTAAGTGGGCTGATTGTGTTATGCTTATGCTTAGTCCACATACCAAACCTACAGGCAGGTACCATACTCTCTTCAGAAGAGGGAAAATAGATCAGGGAGATTAAGTGATTTGCCCAAGATCACACAGCTAGAAAGTAATAGAAGATGGCAATCAAAAATAGGTCTGAGAACTCCAGACAGCAAATTTCATGAGCTTTCCATTATTTTTAACACAATCTCCACACCCCATAGACATAGAAGAGACTTGGGAAAACATATCCCAAGGGGAGCTTCCCAGAGGAGTAAGGAACACATACTTTCCTCTTGATTCTAGATATAAGGGGTAGATAATCATCATCATAGAATTCTACTTACTCAGAGTATGTTCATGATGCATTAAGCTTAGAAATACGCTATAACTGATACACTGTTGTTTATAAAAATACTACTTTTGTAAAAATGCATGTGTTTATGTAAAAAACATGAAACATTATACATGAATTGTTTAACACTGGTTAGGTGTAAAAAACTGGTCATTTTTACTAAAGTTTCTACACTGATTGTCTTTTATAAAAAAAGCATTTAAAATATTTTTGACAGAGATGACTCAAAAAATTCAGGACAACTGCCTTATTTCTTTTTCTGAATCTCACTCAGAAATCTGAGTGAGATTTTTCTGGGTCTCACTCTGTTGCCTAGGCTCAGGTTATCTTCCCAACTCAGCTGCCCAAGTACCTGAGACTATAGGCACATGCAACCCATGCCCAGCTAATTTTTTTTGTATTTCTTGTAGGGACGAGTTTTCACGATGTCAAGGCTGGTCTGGAACTCCTGGGCTCAAGCAGTCCGCCTGTCTGGGATTCCCAAAATGCTCAGATTATAGGCAAAAACCACTGCACCCAGTCTCTGCCTTTGTTATTCTGTCCTCTCCTGATAAAAACTAAATCAGAGAAAATGACAGCCAGAGATGAGACAGAACTAAATAGCCTGATAGTGAAGGAAACATCAAGAAAGACGTGCATATTAGACCAGCTGCTCTCAAACTTGAGCAGACACCACAATCATCTGGAGGACTTTTAGAAACAGATTGCACACACGCCTGTAATCCTAGCACTTTGGGAGACCAAGGTGGGCAGATCATTAGGTCAGGAGATCAAGACCATCCTGGCTAAAACAGTTAAACCCCGTCTTTACTAAAAACACAAAAAATTAGCTGGGCGTGGTGGCAGGTGCCTGTAGTCCCAGCTACTCAGGAGGCTGAGGCAGGAGAATGGCGTGAACCCGGGAGGTGGAGCTTGCAGTGAGCCGAGATCATGCTACTGCACTCCAGCCTGGGCGAAAGAGCGAGACTCCATCTCAAGAAAAACAAAAGAAAACAGATTGAGGCCAGGTAGAGTGGCTCACACCTGTAATCCCAGCACTTTGAGAGGCCGAGGCTGGCAGATCACAAGGTCAACAGATCGAGACCATCCTGCCAATATGGTGAAATCCCGTCTCTATTAAAAATACAAAAAATTAGCTGAGTGTGGCAGTGCATGGCTGTAGTCCCAGCTACTAGGGAGGCTGAGGCAGGAGAATCACTTGAACCCAGGAGGCGGAGGTTGCAGTGACCTCCAGCCTGGAGACAGAGCAAGGCTCCATCTCAAAATAAACAAATAAAATAAAATAAAATAAATTAGGCTGTGCATGGTGGCTCACACCTGTAATCTCAGCACTTCGGGAGGCTGAGGTAGGCAGATCACGAGGTCAGGAGATTGAGACCATCCTGGCCAACATGGTGAAACCCTGTCTCTACTAAACATACAAAAAAATTACCCGGGCTTGGGGGCGGGCGCCTGTAGTCCCAGCTACTTGGGAGGCTGAGGCAAGAGGATAGCCGTGAACCTGGCAGGCCGAACTTGCAGTGACCTGAGATCGTGCCACTGCAGTCCAGCCTGGGTGACAGAGCGAGACTCGGTCTCAAAAAAATAAATAAATAAAATAAAATAAAAAATAAAAAGAGATTGCTGGGCCCTACCCTCATAGTTTCAAATGGGTCAGTGGGTGAGGAGTACCAAGAATTTGCGTTTGTTTGTTTGTTTGTTTGTTTTGAGAAGGAGTCTCATTGTTACCCAGGCTGGCGTGCAGTGGCATCATCTCAGCTCACTGCAACCTCTGCCTCCCTGGTTCAAGCAATTCTCCTGCCTTAGCTTCCTGAGTAGCTAGGACTACAGGCCTGCACCACCACGCTAGCCTAATTTTTGTATTTTTAGTAGAGACGGGGTTTTGCCACGTTGGCCAGGCTGACTTCTGGTGATCCACCCACCTCAGCCTCCCATAGTGCTGGGATTACAGACATGAGCCATCACGCCTGACAGAGCATTTGTTTTTAGTAAGTTCCCAGGTGATGCTAATGCTGCTGGCCGAGACCACACTTACCACTGGATAAATGTAACAGACTGCAGGACAGAAATAAGTAGAAACCAGTAAATCTTAAGAGCATCACAGCTTACAAAGTGCTTTCATGTCTATTTTCTCCTTTTTTCCCTTTTTTTTGAGACAGGATCTTACTCGGCTGCTCAGGCTGGAGTGCAGTGGCATAATCATGGCTCACTGCAGCCCTGACCTCCTGGGCTCAGGTGATCCTCTCAACTCAGGCTCCTGGGTGGCTGGGACTGCTACAGGAATGTGCCACTATGCCCAGATAATTTATTGTACTTTTTACAGAGATGAGGTTTCACCACATTGCCCAGTCTGGTCTTGAACTCCCGAGCTCAAGAGATCTGCCTGTCTCAGCCCCTTAAAGTGCTGGGATTACAGGTGTGAGCCACTGCACCCGGCCTTGCTCCTATAATTTAAACCTCCTAATAGCCTACAAATTATTATATCATTCCTTTTTTATTTACAGCAAGGAAAATGAGACTCAGTATTCAAGCAATTTGCTCACAATCATATATGTTAAGGCAGAACCTATACCCTAAATCCATGACAAAAAAGAAAAGAAACCTAAAATACTCAAGAGGACGTGGGAGTTTAGCAAAGATGACTCCCAAGAATCTTCATGAGCCTTCCTAATACGTACATGCTTGGCCTGTTCCGCGATTTCGGCATGGCTCTTCTCCCACTTCGGGCCCTTGTTAGCCAGGTCAGCAGCCTGGGATAAGCTGAACCCCTCCAGGGGCACTGTGGCACCATCTGGGGGTCCTGGAGGTCCATCCAGGGAGGAATCTTGAGCTATGTGCTGGGGGGAGATGCCGCCTGCCCCACTAGAGGCTGGGGAACTGGATGAGGCAGGGGACACAGGATTGCTGCCTGTCATGCCGTCCGACACCATCTAGAAAAGTGGAAAACGATGGCAAAAATAAATGCTTAGCACTGTGCTGAGTGTTTCAGGTACATTATTTCATTCCATCTTCACAAGAAAAAACTATGTAGAATAACGTGTAAATCTTATTTTCATAAACACAAATGTTTGGGATAAAGTTTTAATAAGGGACTCCGATGGCAAAGCCAAGTTTATAGATGCTTGACATGAAAGAATTATGTCCTGACATTTACACAGTCCCCAAGCTTAAGAACATGTATATATGTATGTATATGTATATATGTGTATATGTACATGTATGTATATACACACACACACACAGACCCATATAGGCCGGGGATGGTGGCTCACAATTGTGATCCCAGCACTTTGGGAGGCCGAGGCGGGTGGATCACCTGAGGTCAGGAGTTTGAAACCAACCTGGCCAACATGGCGAAACCCCGTCTCTACTGAAAATGCAAAAATTAGCTGGGCATGGTGGTGGAAGCCTGTAATCCCAGCTACTCAGGAGGTTCAGGCACAAGAATCATTTGAACCTGGGAGGCGGAGGTTGCAGTGAGCCAAGATCGCGCCATTGTACTCCAGCTTGGATGACAGAGTAGACTCTGACTCGGGGGAAAAAAAACCCCCCCCCACACACACACACATATAGCATATGATTTCAAATTCTGATCCTTTCAGAGCCTCAGTGATTTCATTCACATAAACAACTCCCTATTTTCCCTCCATTTTCACAAGTGTAGCAATTCACTTATGCAATAAATGTGAGCTACCACCAAATTCAACAGCCACCAACAAAATCCCAAGCCACCTTAACTTCTTCACTGGACAGGCAAGGGCTAGAGGCATAGCCACTGTTCTCAAACACCCACACATCACTTTACAAGGTACTCCAAAAGCATTAAGAAATGGAAGCCAGGCTTAGTGGCTCACGTCTGTAATCCCAGGACTTTGGGAGGCTGAGGCAGGTGGATCATGTGGTCAGGAGTTCCAGACCAGCCTAACTAACATGGTGAAACCCCATCTCTCCTAAAAGTACAGAAATTAGCCAGGTGTGGTAGCGCGAGCCTGTAATCCCAGCTATTCAGGAGCCTGAGGCAGGAGAATCGCTTGAACCAGGAAGCAGAGGTTGTAGTAAGCCGAGATTATGCCATGTCTGGACGGACGGGCGGATGAAAGGAAGGCAGACATAGCTGGGCACGGTGGCTCACACCTGTAATCCTAGTACTTTTTGAGGTTGAGGCGGGTGGATTACCAGAGGTCAGGAGTTCGAGACCAGCCTAACTACATGGTGAACCCCATCTCTACTAAAAATACAGAAAATTAGCTGGGCGTGGTGGCGGATGCCTGTAATCCCAGCTACTCAAGAGGCTAAGGCAGGAGAATCACTTGAACCCAGGAGGTAGAGGTTGCAGTAAGCCGAGATCGTACCACTGCACTCCAGCCTGGACAAGAGTGAAACTCTGAGCCAGGCACAGTGGTTCACACCTGTAATTCCAGCACTTTGAGAGGCTGAGGCGGGTGGGGACCACAAGGTCAAAAGATCGAGACCATCCTGGCAAACATGGTGAAACCCCACCTCTACTAAAAACACAAAAATTAGCCAGGCGTGGTAGCGTGCACCTAGAGTAGCAGCTACTCGGGAAGCTGAGGCAGGAGAATCGCTTGAACCGGGGAGGTGGAGGTTGCAGTGAGCCGAGATCATACCACTGCATTTCAGCCTGGTGACAGAGCGAGACTCGAAAGAAAGAAAGACAGACAGACAGAAAGAGAAAGAAAAAGAAAAAAAGAAAGAAAAGAAAGGAAAAGGAAGGAAAGAAGGAAGGAAGGAGAGAGAGAGAGAGGAAGGGAGGGGAAAAGAAAAGAAAAAAAAAAGAAAAGAAAAGAAAAGAAAAGAAAGGAAAGGAAAAGAAAAGAAAAGAAAAACAGGCCAGGTCCTGTGGCTCACACCTGTACTCTCAATACTTTGGGAGGCCGAGGTGGGTGGATCACCTGAGGTCAGGAGTTCAAGACCAGCCTGGTCAACATGGTGAAACCCCATCTCCACAAAAATATAAAAATTAGCCAGCTATGATGGTGGGTGCCTGTAATCCCAGCTACTCCCGAGGCTGAGGCGGGACATCTGCTTGAACTTGGGAGGCAGAGGTTGCGGTGAGCTGAGATCGTGCCATTGCACTCCAGCCTGGGTGACGGAAAGAGACTCCATCTCATTTAAAAAAAAAAGAAAAGAAAAAAATGGAAAACAAAGTCCTACTAAAATGTGGATATTCAGGGAATTCACAAATTCACTCCAGGACATAAGCCTTACACTGCGCCACTCAAATTCCAACCTCAGCTAAACGACAAGACTGTCACAAATTTCCCCAGTTTCTCAGGAAAATTATAACTATCAAATCTATAAACATGAAAAACTTACTGTACTGCTTACTTTAGCAACACATATACTAAAACTGGGAGGATACAGAAAACATCAACATGGCCCATATGCAAGGATGACACAATAAAGAAATCCTTTTTTTTTTTTTTTTTTTTTTTTTTGAGACGGAGTCTCGCTCTGTCACCCAGGCTGTAGTGCAGTGGCCAGATCTCAGCTCACTGCAAGCTCCGCCTCCCGGGTTTACGCCATTCTCCTGCCTCAGCCTCCCGAGTAGCTGGGACTACAGGCGCCCGCCACCTCGCCCGGCTAGTTTTTTTGTATTTCTTAGTAGAGACGGGGTTTCACCGTGTTAGCCAGGATGGTCTCGATCTCCTGACCTCGTGATCCGCCCGTCTCGGCCTCCCAAAGTGCTGGGATTACAGGCTTGAGCCACCGCGCCCGGCTAGAAATCCTTTTTATAAAAAAGTTAAAAAAATTAAACTGAAAAGAAATCTGACTGTACACACACCTAGATGTGTGTTTAAAAGCCATGTTTTTTTTTTCCTACCCCACACCCTTCCTTGGTATGAGAAAGGAATGAACATTACACATCATCCATAGGCTTATCCTACTCCAGTTCTGATAGAAGTTAAACTATCCTCAAAGTGTACGGTCTTAAAAGCATGGTGCCCAGACCTCCATTTCCAACCTAGCCTAATTCAACCTTTCAGGTAATGAGGAATTTTTGCACTCTTGGAGATATTACACTAATGTTAAATGGAATGTGAGTATCCAACAGACCTGACACACTACAGCCCAGCCCCCCGAGCACCAAAGATTCTCCAAAACTCTCCACAAATATTCCCGTCACATTTCTTCTGCCTCACACCCAACAATCCACAATGCAGAAGCAGAGAAGGACCTCTCCCCACTTTCAAACCTGTGTCTGTAGGACTGGGAGCTGAGGGTGAGCAGGGGAGGGGCTGCTCTGCATGGTCCCACTCCCAGGCTCCTCCTTGGATGCCTGAAGAATGACTGGGTCGTTATCACCACTGCTGCTGGCCGAGGGGCTGGCGTCCGGCTGCAGGGCATGCTGGGAGCTGGCCTCATTCTGGGCCACCGGCCACCGGGACCCGCCTTCCAGGGCCCGGGGCCCACCAGGGCGTCCCAGCCTCCGCTCAGGTCCACCAGCCTCTGGAGCACCTAAAGTAGGGTAAGAAGAAGACACAAATGCAGTTAAAGGGGATGAAAAATTATTTTTAAAAAACCAGAAATAACACTGAATAAAGAGAAACACAGAAATTACAAGTTATATTTCTTCAGCACTTAACATGTATGAAATACTTTCAGTACTTGTTTGATGTACTCTATAATCCTCACATCTACCTTAAAAACCAAGTGCTGGCCGGGTGTGGTGACTCACACCTGTAATCCCAGCACTTTGGGAGGCCGAGGCAGGTGGATCACGAGGTCAGGAGATCGAGACCATCCTAGCTAACACGGTGAAACCCCGTCTCTACTAAAAATGCAAAAAATTAGCTGGGTATAGCGGCGGGCGCCGGTGGTCCCAGCTACTCGGGAGGCTGAGGCAGGAGAATGGTGTGAACCCAGGAGGTGGAGCTTGCAGTGAGCCGGGATCGCGCCACTGCACTCCAGCCAGCGTGAGAGCGAGACTCCGTCTCAAAAAAAAAAAACAAAAACCAAGTGCTTCTCACAGCATAACAAATATTTACTTCCTCCTACACACAACGGATAAAGCCATGCAGAAAGGATTCCCAACCTAAATGGAGCTTACATTCTAATATAATCTGTTTTATAAGTAAAAAAGTTTTAAAACCTTATGATTTGTGGAAGGTCACACAGTAAAAAAGTGGTAGGAGGACTTCAATCCACATAGTCTTAATGCCAAAACCATGGAAAACCTGCTACTCTTCCTGGTAGAGCCAGGTTGACCACGTTTTCCTTAACCCACAGCCTCAGTTCTGTTGTTGCACTACTATAATCAAACCCTCCACAGAAAAACCACATGCAAACATTCCCGTGTTTCTCTAGAGTGAAAATCCCCAATACTGACCTATAATTGCTTTCATTATCTCAAACATTTCTCCCATTAGCATCAGCACACAAAATGGTAGCAGATCCCTCACCTGTGTGAGCTGAGACCACACCCCCTGTGAAAGTCTGCACTTCCACGGTGCCGCCGTACTGAAGGGAATCACACCTGAAACAGAAGAACAGTGAGGAACTCTTCCACATTTGCCAACATTCATCAAAGCGTATTATTTACTCCAGTTTTTTTGAGACGTTTAAACATACCCAAATCAGTTCAAAGACTAGAAACAGAAAAACAACAGTAGGAAAAGCTCATATTTCAGGGAAATGCAAATCATGTTTTGTGAAGACGAATCCTGTTTTGCGAATTCTGTAGGGACATAGATCCTGCCTGGGGGAAGGAGCAGGAAAGGAGTTAAGCAAGAAAGTTCAAAAATTTTAAGTGTGAAGGCTCCAACCATAGAATGGAAAACAAAACCAAAAAAAATTACAGCAAAAAAAAGCTGTCACATCCAGAACCTCAGAAAGGTGCTACCTGCCTGCGTGTCTTTCCAGTGAGGGCTGGACGCAGAAATGAGAGTGGAACTCCCGGGAAGAGTCAACAAACATGCAGGTCACAGGAAAATCCGCCCAGGATTCAGGGCAGGGCACTGTGAATCCCATACCTGCGCCATTAGACACTTCCCCAAACACAAGAACCACAGCAAAAGGGAGATTCAGGAGCAGTCAAAAGCGAGAAGCCGCACTGCCAAGAACCACGCGCCGGAAACAGGCAGTGTGAACCCGCAGGAGGCCCGGAAATGCTTCCCCTGTGTTTAAGGAAATTCCTAAACCACGGTGCCGCCTTTGATTCACTCCCTCCTCAGCCACACGTTCCGAAGACCCGAGCTCACCAGAAGCCAACAAGCCTGAACTCTTGACTCCAGGTTTCGTGACCGTCTCCCTAGCCCTCCCGGCGGACTGACCTCGCGTGACCCCTGACCTCTGCCCAAGTTGCCACTAGCCCTGAGATAGCCCCGCCCCCTCCAGCCTCCCACCCCACCCAACGTGCGCGCCGGGCGGGGGAGGGGCCCGCGCGTGCGCGGCTGGAGGCGGAGAGAGCCGGCTGCGCGCACGGCCCGGGGGCTCCCGCCAGAACCCGAGCCCACGCACACAAGGGTCGCGGGGCTGGGAAGCCCCTCATCCGAGCCCGTCAGGGAGCCCCCGCCCCCATCACCCGACCGCGAAAGGCTGAGAGAAGGGAGGGTTCGTGCCACCAGGTCCTGATGCCCCGGCTGGATGTGGTGGGCGCGCGCCCAGACTACTCGTCCCACGCCCCCCTTCCTCTTCCCGCGCGCCCCTGAGGGGTGACTGGGTTGGTGGGCGGGCAGGAGCGCACCTGGGTCCGTCCTCTCAGGGCTCGCTCGCTCGCTTGCTCAGGCACGCGTGCGCAGAAGAGCGGGAAGGGAGAGGAGACGCGGGGCCCAGCGCCGGCCGGCCTGACCCCCTCACTCTGTCTCTATGGGCGCGCGCCGACAGCCTCGCGCACCGGCCCCGGGGCCCCGGCTGAGGGTGCGCGCGCAGCACCCCGGGAAGGTGGGAGGGGAGGCGGTGGCGGAAAGATGCGCGCGCAGTCAGCCGTCAGGGGAGGGGGAACTGTGGGACGTCCGCCATCTTGTCTCCCTCTCCTTACCTGCGTCCTCGGGGGCGTGCGCACCACCCCCCCTCCCGCCGAGGAGGGGGGAGGGCTCCCTCTTGGCCACCGCCTTTGCGGCCTTTAAACTCCCCTGGAGACTGCAGCTACTGCCACCGCCTTGCCTCCACTGCCTCTTCTCGGAGCACACAGATGCGGACGGTGGGTGGGAAAAAGGGCAGACGCTACTCCCAGCGAACCGCCGCCGTCGCTCCCGAGGCCTCACCAAAATGGCCGCCGCCGTCTCGGCCGCCACCACCACCACCACCGCCGCCACCGCTCGCTATCGCTACCGTCGGCGCGGCCCGTCTTCTCGCGAGAGACAGTAACTGGAGGGTGGGGGTACGGGGAGGCTCGCGTGCTAGCGTAGGGCGCCGCCCGGCGCGCAAGGCAGCCTGGGAGGTGTAGTCTCCCGGTGGCTGCGCGCTCGCCCCTCCTCGGAGCGCGTTTACTGTCTGCCCCTAGAGCTACCTGGGGCTGCATTGCGGCTGCCAGCTCGGACCACCGCCACCTCCCTTTTTATTTACAGATCACCCAGTGAGCTGAAACAAGTTAGCAGTGGAACCTGGGCTTCCCAGTTCCCAGGGCAGCCCATTTCTGTAGCGCTGCTTCGTTTTACACGAGGATGGTTTCCTGATAGCTTTCAAACACCTTTGCCATCTGTTCGAAAACGTTCTAGGTTAAGAACCCCTTTGAGAATCTGATACTTTTACCCCAGAATAGAACAATAAATAACAGCTACCTTCTACTGACACTACTTTGTGCATTGATTATTTCTTCTAATCCTAACAATGCTCCATTTTACAAACGAATTGAGGCTCAGGCGTTAAACACTGACAGATCCTGAAGTCAAGATTCCTAGCCAAGCAGTCTAAGCCACAAGAATGCACTTGCTGTCACAAAATTTTACCACCTAAAGCCCGCCCTAAAAGGCCAGGTTAGGAAGCCCTGAGAAGCTCCCCTTCCTCCATTCAGTTTAACTCTTCCCTGCGAAGAGGATTGTTGGTCGTGTTTTACAGATGAAGTTTGGGTTGAAAGAAAAGTGGATGATGCCTATATTTTCTAGACCCTCCTCCCATCACCCCCAAAAGAGGGGATCCCAGGCCAGAGTCTGAATGAATTGGCCCTAGCCTTGTGCCATTAACTCCTTGATACGTGACCTTGAGCAATTAACTTCACCTTTCTGAGCTTCAGTTTCCTTTGTAAACTGAGGATAGAGTTGCTGATGTAAAATTGCTTTGAAAGATCTGAAGGGCCAGGTGCGGTGGCTCACACCTGTAACCCCAGCACTTTGGGAGGCCAAGGCAGGAGGACCCCTTGAGGCCAGGAGCTCAAGACCAGCCTGGGCAACATAGTGAGATGTTCTCTCTACAGTAAATTTAAAAAATTTAAAGTATGGGGAAAAAAAAAAAAAAGCTCTAAAGGACCACCTAAATGCAGAGTGTATTTCACTATAATTCAGTGTCTCACATCCATGATCTTAAGGTCAAGGTTAGCCTTCTGGTGTGCTTTACATAGTGTTTATTTATGTATGTATTCATTTATTGAGATAGTCTTGCTCTGTCACCCAGGCCGGAGTGCAGTGTCACAATCTTGGCTCACTGCAGCCTCTGCCTCCCGGGCTCAAGCAATTCTCATGGCTCATCCTCCCAAGTAGCTGGGATTACATGTGTGTACCACCACACTCAGCTAATTTTTGTATTTTTAGTAGAGACAGGGTTTTACCATGTTGCCCAGGCTGGTCTCAAACTCCTGACTTCAGGTGATCCACCCACCTCAGCCTCCCAAAGTGCTGGTACTACAGGCTTGAGCCACTACGCTCGGCTGGTTTACGTAGTGTTTTAATGTTCTGGGTATTATTAATACTTCAGGAAGCCAGGCACGGTGGCTTACGCCTGTAATCCCAGCACTTTGGGATGCTGAGGCAGGTGGATCACCTGAGGTTGGGAGTTCGAGACCAGCCTGACCAACATGGAGAAACCCTGTCTCTACTAAAAATACACAATTAGCCAGGCGTGGTGATGCGTGTCTATAATCCCAGCTACTCGGGAGGTTGAAGCAGATAATTGCTTGAACCCGGGAGGCGGAGATTGCAGTGAGCCAAGATCACGCCATTGTGCTCCAGCCTGGGCAACAACAGCAAAACTCCATCTCAAAAAAAGAAAAAAAGAAAAGAAAAAATACTTCAAGCAAGAGAATGACGTCTCCAATGTACCATAGGTCCCACCATTCCCAATTGTCTTGCACCAGGCAACTTAACAAATTTGTCGTATCTGGCACCTAAAGGCAGTTAAACTTGTGACCTCTTGTTCATACACAAGCATGTCAACGAGCGTGTTCTCCTAACCAGCATTTCCTCTGCCTGTTTCCTATCTGGCCCTGTGCTGCGTGCGGTGGGAGAGACAGGAGGGAAGATGGCACAGTCCCTGCTCTTAAGAACTTAGTCTCATTGTGGGATAAGCTGTGAGCTTGGTAAAAGGCATGGCAGTGCTGTGGTATCTCAAAAGAAGGGTGGTCAAGGAACTCTCCAAGGGTCAGGTTGGATACCCAGTGGGGTATCAGGGAAGGCTTCCTAGAGAAGTATCATTTGAACCTGACCTTGAAAAATTTAGGCATGAAGGCAGGCACTCCAGGAATATGACACAGCTTCCACGAGGCTGATGGCTCGGCGGTGGGGGGAAGGGGGACAGTGAATCAGCTTGTGCCCCAGGCTGGAGTACAGTGGTGTGATCATAGCTCACTGCAGCCTCGACCTCCTGGGCTCAGGTGGTCCTCCCACCTCAGCCTTCCAAGTAGCTGAGACTACAGGTACACACCACCAGGCCCGGCTATTTTTTATTTTTTTGTAGTGAAAGTGGGAGGTCTGTGTTGCCCAGGTTGGTCTTGAACTCTTGGCCTCAAGCAGCCCTCCTGTCTCAGCCTCCCAAAGTGCTGGGACTACAGGCATGAGCTACCACACCCAGCCCTAGCCTGTCTTTATGAGGGAGCAGGTTAAGACACTGTTGGAGAGATCACCTGGCTCCAAGTGGCTAGGGCCCAGCATGCCAGGCTAGGTTTGGGGCATTCGCTTGGAAGTGACAGGGAGCTATTGAAAGTTGTTAAGCAAAAGATTGGCATGACCCAGGCTGGGTACGGTGGCTCATGCCTGTAATCTCAGCACTTCGGGAGGCCGAAGCGGATGGATCGTGAGGTCAAGAGATCGAGACCATCCTGGCCAACATGGTGAAACCGCGTCTCTACTAAAAATACAAAAATTAGCCTGGCGTGGAGGCGTGTGCCTGTAGTCCCAACTACTTGGGAGGCTGAGGCAGGAGAACCGCTTGAACCCGGGAGGTAGAGGTTGCAGTGAGCTAAGATCACACCACTACACTCCAGCCTGGCAACAAAGCCAGACTCTGTCTCAAACAAAAAAAAAAAAAAAAAGATTGGCATGACCCATGTTCCACTTTACAAAGGGTGATGTATGTAACAAGATGCATGGGATGTCTGTAAGACGAGACAGGGAGGATACCGGCAGTCACCTGTGTGTAATGGGAGCTGTTGGCCAGAAGGTGGCAGTGGAGATGGGGGGAGAGACTAAGAAGGAAAAATTAGCAGAACCTGGCAGTTGATTGCTAGTGATGATGATCTGCTAAACATCGTTCCTTCTGTGATTCCAGTCTTTCCCAGGCTCCTCCCACCTCCCTGGGCACTCCGTTTCTCCCTCTCCCCACAGGACACTTCTGGACCCCTCCATCAGTTGGTGGGGCTGCTAAGGATTCTTGCCTCAACTGCCCCCTCTCATCCAAGTCCTCAAGGGCTGAGGCAGATACTGTGAAACTAATGAAGCTTCAGCTTCCAGGACTTCTCCCTTTAATGGACCTTCCATTGCTATTAGTGGCTGGGGGTTACAGAACCATCTAGGTGAGGTGGAGAAGCCAGGTTGTAACCAGAAAGCACTCGCATGTAAGCATTTCTGGTGATTTGCCTAAAGACATCTCAGGGGAAAAAAGGGGCGTTAATCTCTAAGGCTCCAGTAACTTTTCATGATTTCCATGTTTATTCCAACCACCATCTCTTAAGTCAAGACTAGCCCCAGCTCAGAACCCTGTAACTCCTGGAATCCTCCTGCAGGAGGCTCCCTAGGAACCTTGGACTTCTCCATCCAAAAGTAAACTCACAGCCAAATGTGGTGGCTCACGCCTGTAATCCCAACACTTTGGGAGGCCAAGGCAGGCAGATCGCCTGAGGTCAGGAGTTTGAGACCAGCCTGGCCAACATGGTGAAACCCTGTCTCTACTAAAAATACCAAAATTAGCTGGGCGTGGTGACTCATGCCTGTAA